TGAATAGGATGATGGAATTTTCATCCATAAGTGTGTGTATGCAATGAGGACTCCAGATGCCTCTGTGATGACTTTATGTTTCTGTAAGTCTTGGTAACACACGCCCTTTCTTTAGCATTAAATAACTCGTCAAAAACAACCATATCAGAATGATTAATATAAGAGCAAACCTCACACTTTGCCCCCCAAAATGTATCATCTGTTTCAGTGAGAGGTGATCATCAGTCTTTCTGAAATGTAATTCACCATGCCGTCATTTTATACAACACGTTCTGCTCTGCTCTGAAATAACTCGAGAAATGGGTTGAATATTGGTTCAAACATGCAGTTTATGCAGAATGTTTTTACAATTTAAATCCAGCACCAGTAACCAAAGCTGAAACTAAGAACGAAGATCAATCAGGGTAAAAACCAAACATTCATCAGCATCAGCGGTTAAACATGGACCATTTGTTACCTTGAATAATTTCACTTTTTCATAATGAGAGGCACAAACTGGGGTTTGTAGGGTGCTTTGGAAAATGTTTTGGTTGTAGTTTAGTTGCAGTCCAATAGGCTCTCGTAACCTGGCTCCAGTTAAGGAAGATTTAGGCAGGCTGTGACCTGTGCATAAATAAAGTAACATACAAATAACCATTTCTTGGATGGAGCCACTTTATTTCTTCATCACTGGAGCCAAATACTTTCCTCAGGATGATGTAGATGCACAGAGAGTATTCATAAAGCTCACAATTTAGGATTTAAATCATCCATCCATCTTCTTAAGACACTTGACCACTTTATTCCTACATCCCATCAGAAAATTAAGCTCATTGGAACAAGTTAATTTGAAAACCACTGACATTTTTCAGGAATTTGATTTGAATGGCTGCCACTAAACTCAAAATGAATACAAGCATCTCCCCATCCTCCTCATGATCCAAACGCTTGACATAACCAATGAGAGTGAAGGAAAGAAAAAAACAATTTGTTGTAAGGGACAAAAGTTTATTGTAACCCTACAAAAGACACAGGGTGAGAGAAAAAAACAAAACCGAAACAAAATAAATGAAAAACAAACCAAAAGAAAAGCTTCTCGTTCTCATACAAGTGTCAGAACTATCCATCATACACGGACCACAGTTTAATGATTCTGATTTTTAATATAACATTTGTCGTAATGCGTTGTGTACATACAAAATATAGCAAACTAAATAAGGCAAATAAATAGAGGTACAATTTACAGGAAAATGGAACATTCCTCATGTTTTCATCTTTTTTTTAATCTTAACTCAAACATCAACAAACGTGTACAAAATGCTTTTTTTTATTTCTCCAACTGTATATCTTTCAGGTGGAGGGTACGTTTTTCTTTTTCTTCCGAACATGAAAATACTGACTCCTCACAATTATACAAGCTCGAAGAAAGGGTGCAACTTTTCTCAGGCAGTACAGGCTGTGGTTTAACAGGTGTGTTTCAGTTTGCAAGCAGTTTTCTACGAAAGGAGAAACAATTCACACTCTGTGCACCCATCTTTAGGCATGCAGCTCAACACCATGTAATGACAGAAATGTGGTATTGACATAAAATACCCCACCCACAACCGCCCCCCAATCCCTCTTTTTAATTTTTTTTCTCCAGACTCACCAAACCAGGAGACAGGACCTGCTCTGTACCACAGTCGCCTCTTAGTTTCACCACAAATCCCATCTCTGCCATTCAACAGACTCTTAAAGTGTTCCAAGCGGCCCAGCCGGATACTCAGCCTCACTTTCCTCCCTTTCCTATAAACACCATCTTTAATTTCTTCTTCTTTTAAATTTTTTATTTTTATTTTGCACCACTCTTTCGTTGCACCCTTCTAGTTTCTTGAGGGACCTCAGCCCTCGCTGCAAATGGAAATGTCCCATCAACAAAGTGCATTGAAACAAGCTACTTATTTCCATCTTTACACTCAAAAAAAAAAAGAAAAAGAAATCAAAAATCATCAGCCAGTCAATGGCCAAATAGACATCCAACCATGTAGCAACACAAAGGTTTTAATACTGACAATACCCCTCAGGAAATAGTCTGCACTACAACACGGATTAAAGCTCTGAATGAAGGGTTTAAAGAATCTGATGAAGTATAACTCAAAAAGGATCAGAGGCTAGAAAACAAAAGGACTAAAATATACACAAGATGCTGGTTTATTGAGAGAAAATCAAGTAATATCCTCTTTTAAAATTTTAAAAGTGTCTCAAAGTTTTAAGTGATTTTGGTTCACTGGTTAATCTCTGGGATACAATTTCTGTCTCACGTTATGTTTTTTTTAACCTCACAGTAGCTTCTCTCTGCTTCAGAGGGGAAATGAAGAAAATGAACTAAAAGTGTGGAAGAACTCATAAAAGGAAGTGAGTGAGTTTAGCTGTGCACAACACATAACCCCAAACCTTTCTGAGGAAACATTTAAGTGCACCTGCTGAAGTTATTTGGGAGATACTGGGTAGAGCTGTTTTTGACAGGTTGTGAGGTCAGTGAAGTGCACTATAATCGGCCACAAGATGGCGCCATATCCCCACCAAATTCTGTAAGTTTGCTTTGGAAGCCACAAATACAAACGTGAAAACAGGATGAGAGGCACTTAAAACTGAACGTTTACACAACGAAGAACAGAAAAACTCCAGAAAGGACAAACTGGGGAAGTCGCTGTTAGAAATACAAACATGGTGGGTCGAGACCTCTCTTCTGACTCTGAATGAATGTGATGGTTAACATGTAAATGTATGCTTGATGTTGACTTTACACCCCACGATTAGAGCAGTCTTTGTGTGAACACATTCTGCAGCGAAGCTGAAGCCAAAACCAAACCAACGCAGTGCCCAAAACTGCAATTCCTTTAATGACCACTGGAGGCTTGCTCCAAAAGTGAGTCAATCTCCATAAAACTCCCATGTTAAAATGACCAGCTTAAAGCAAAAATAAACATAGTTTTGGTCTTTTTAGCCACTTTCCTACTTTATAACAATTTTGTTTGTGTAACTCCCCCATTTAAACATTATTAAAGTTAAACATATAATTATTATCAGGTCCGTGGCCTCTTTTACTGACAGATATCTGGCAGGCTTCATCTCCGGAAACTGGAGACATTGATTGGTGTCTGGTTAATTGCATACAGACTATCTGTGCTCCAGTTTTCACAACTAGTTAAATTCTAGTACTTCATCTGTATGTTACTTAGCAGACACAGATAACTGCTAATTAAAGCAAATGTTAGCTAAAAGATTAGCACTCCACCCTCTCATCCAAATATGGTCACTTCTGGTCCAAAAAATAAAAAACAAAACAAAAAAAACCCTTAAAAGAACAAAACAAAATGAAAAACAAAAAACAAGCAAAAGAACAAGATGGCTTTATAATGGGACTTCAAAAACCAATGAGCGACATCATAGATGCTACATCCATCTTTTAATACAGTCTATGTGCACTGCTATATATATATTTTTGTTTTCAAAAAGAATCAGATGTTAATACTGATTACACTACAGCCTCACTCCTACTGCTCTAAATACTTCAAATACCTTATAAAAAGGAGGTTGGCTTCCCTTTGTGGGCCTGATTTGACTGACTTGATTGACAAGCTGGAGAAAAAGATGAAAGTACAAATTCTTTTCTATGACATGCTCTGATGTTTTTTTCCTGTGTGTGTCCCACCTACCTTCTTTAAGTGTTTTGTTATACCCTGACATGACAATGAGAGATTCATCACATGGTGCGGTGTGACTCTACCACGGAAAAAGCTGAAAATTAAAAAAGAAAGCAGAGAGATACTGAATAGAGTGAGAATTTAACCTTACTGCAGTAAAGGAACTGCAGCTTGTGCCTTTAAATGAATTTCATGGCATTCCTTCATTATGTTAGTTACAGATAATCTGACAACATACAGGACGCTGTCATTGGCTTGTGGACTTCTGAGTGTAAAGTTTACAAAAAAGCTGCAGTGCAAACAAGACGTACAGATGTGAAAAGTGTGAGCGATTACCTCTTTTTTTTTTCCTTTTTTTACATAAAGCGCAAAATGTATAGAAATTCACTTCAACGGCAACTTGCAACACCAACAAATAATGCATTGCGTGTACAAAAATCCCAAAACATAAAAAAAGACCTCTTTGCAATTAGCTTGTCTGCATCTAAATATAAATATATATCAATGCCTAATTGCAGTATGTTTTGTATTAATACATTTACATTAGTTTTCTCTTTCCTTTGGCACTGTTAATGCCAGAACGATGTTGGTCAGAGTGAAGGTGAGGCCTGACCCATGTGGCACAGTCATGTTTTAAATCAGGTGGATCAGGCTGAGAAGTTTCCTTGAGAAGAGCCGAGCACATCGGGATAGACACGTCCTTCCCGGAGAATGTTGGTATGAATCTGGATCCTTCTTCACTCCTTCAGAAGCCTACAAATCATTCTGGGACGTGTCGACTCCTTGACTTTCTGTGGTTGAGAAGTCTCTTTTCTGGGGAACACCTGATGGTCGAGGTTATTGTTTAATTCCCTTCAGCTTCTTTTTTCCCCCAAATCTGCCTGGAGACGCTTCATAGTCCTTTTACCAATCCTTTGTCTTTGCCTCGTGACTATATACAGTGTGACTGTCCAATCCCAATGTCCTGTGTGCTTTAAAGCCCAGTAGTTAAATGACAGGGCTTTTTCAGCACCGGAGAGCTTGCAGAGGATGTGTGAATGGGGGAGAAAAGTGAAAAAGACTGGGGTGATAGACAGTGAGAGCCTTGAGCACAGTGTTAAAGGATATGGTCAAATGACATGGGCTAATGTGTCACAGTGGTGTGTCCACTTGTCCATCCTGGTAACATCCAGAACAGACGGAGTGGAAATAGCTTTACAAGACCAATCAGAGGAGAGCGCTGCATCCTTCAACACGGCTCGGCCGTTCTTGCAAGTCCAATCCAGCTGTTATTTACATCCTCTCCAATGTCAGCGGTCACTGTCCCACAACCTGGACTAAAGGTGTTAAAAGCTCAACGCAATGGCAGATTTAAGGTGGGGTTTTTTATTCCTGTTCCCCGACCTAGTAGTTAACCTTGGTGACGGTTCTTTCCCGGCCGCCACCCTCCGCCAGCTGATTGACAGAGCGTTTGCGATTTCGCTTGAACTTGTTCAGGTCTTTGTCGAAGACCTCGCCGGAGCGCAAAGCTGAAACCAGGTCGTCAAACTCCCCGCCGACTTCTTCCGTGGTGCCGCTCTTTTTGGCCCGTCGTTCCCGCTCCCGTTGATCCTTAAGCTGGTTAGGAATAGGATACAGAGTTATTGGAAAAAAAAAAATTAACTGTCATCACTGCCTCAGGTGTATTCTCTGCTTCTGTGTCTCACCATCGCCTCCATCCGGGCCCTCCGCTCCTCCTCATCCTTGCGTCGCTGCATGTTCTCGAGGTCCTGTCGTGCTTCGGTGAACGACTGCAAGAAGGTGTCGAAGATCCCGAAAAACTCATCCGGCTGCATTCTCCCTTCTTCCTCCCCAAAGTGCTTCAGAGATTTGGCAAACTGCACAAAGCACATATACCGTCATTAATAAACAATTTTAAACACATTGAAACCAAATGCGTCATTATACAGGCTGGACATGAGCATATGAGCCTGCTCTTCAAATTCATCTACTGCCATTCATGCTGGAAATTAACACACACACACACACACACACACACACACACACACACACACACACACACACGAGTAAGAAATGACTGCATGATTTGACCACCGTATGTCCACCCAGTTCTGTTCAAGCTGTTCGGTGCTCTGCGCCAGGACAAAGCCTGCGGCCAAACACGCTCTACATTCCCACACTGAGCTTTGTGCTGCAGTACTACAGACCACTACACGCACACACATACACACAGGCCCAGTCACAGTCCTAAAACACAACAAGATACAATCTGTACTGCACAGAGGCCATGGTTTGAGGCAGATACTAGCAACACATCTGACCAGTTTTGCAAAATAATGTGCGATAGGTTATTTGTGGAAAGATTTGGATTTCATAAAGCGTAACTGTCACACATGTATTTGGTTTAAGACGATAAACAGGCCACACTGAAAGAGTGAAAGTGAGAGTCAGTATTCTTTAAAAGGGTAGCAGCTGTTCATTCTATCATCTGAAAAAAAAAAAACCCAAACATTTGGGCACTTTTATAAATTTTGCAAAAATAAAGTTTCAAAATACACTCAGGGTGAGGCTACATTCAAGCACAATCTGCAAAGCGCATTTGAAGCTGGTTTTTTTTGGCCATTTGGTTGGAACAGAACAAGCTGGGTAGTTATTCTTTATTTATCTCCATTGGGAAAATGTAAAACATCCCAAGTGTTAGGAGAAGCAAGTCCTCAAAAGCCACCTGGGGGCTTTTGAGGGTTCATTCTCCTGTGCCCAGGTCAAGGGCACGGGGGAATGAACCCAATGCATTTTTAACATCGGAGAAAAACAAGATCTCCTGGAAAAACTCCAAACCCAAACCATGAGTATTTATCCATACTTTGACTTCCTAGATATCGCTAAAGGCACCATGGAAATCTCAGCTGAAGAAAATGCATGTGATTTCTCAAAATCCAGTTCAGCTTAGTTATTAGTGTACTCTCTCATTCGTTAATTAAATTTCAGTTGAACTTTATTTTATTTATACAGCACCAAACCATCTCATGGTGCTTTTTATTGTAAGTACGGTACTTGAATGGTGGGAAATGCAGGGAAAAAGAGAAGAGAAAACAAAAACAACAAAGAATGAAATCAAACTATGGGAGCAGGCAAATGTTGAAAATATATGCCATGCTGAAGACAAAGAGAATGAAAAGAGGAGAGTGTGCATCAAGAGGAGCATCCAATAGTCTGAGCCTATAGCAGCATAACTTAAGGATGGTTCAGGGTCATCTGATCCAGCTTCTAATAAAAGTTTCATCACTAAATTAAAGTTTCATCCTCATCACTGCTTTCATATTCATTTTTGTTTCACTCCTTCCTAATCTCACAGAGTCACATTTAAAGTCAAAATTCCCCAGCTTTTACGGTAAATAAAATATATCTCATCTCAGATCACTAACAAAGAATCTTCATATATTTACTCTTTTGGTTGATTTATTTCAATACAATAAACAATAAATGGTACATTTTAAACCCTTTAGGTAAAAACAGCCTCTGTTGTTCTCTTCTGCACTGTGCTATTATCCTCTGTCTCATCTTCAGGGAGAGTTCAGTGACAGTAAACATGACTCTAGTTTATATGAGGTTAGCATCATACTGTAAATGGTCCTCGTGTTGTGATAAAACCATCCTGTCATTATGGTACTAGTCTCCATGGCAACCCCACCGTCATCACTCTCTCTCTCCTAGTAATTATGTGTCTGGTCAAATCTGTTTCCTCTCGTCCCCTTGGGTCTGAGCTAAATGAGTAAACACACACGCGCGCGCATGCACACACACACGTACTCCTGCACACACAATAAAATGAAGAATGTGAAGTTACAACACTGTGCAGCTCATTTCACACAACCACTAAAATAAACACAGGCAAGCTCTGTGAGAGAGCCAATTATCTCTTTGCATTCTCTGATTATTTATTGCGCCTTATTTTTATTAATAATAGATTTTAAATTACGACTTTAAAAATAAAAAATAAAACTGTGTTTGTTGTTCAAAAATACTCTATGAAAACCTATATGACTGATCTGTTTACACATTAGATAAATCATATTTTATCCAACATGAAAACCCTGTACGAGATGATCGGTCCTCCTGTGATGATCAGTGAGCAGCGGTGTGCTTTCATGCTTAGAAAAAGCACCGTAGATGTAATTTTTGCTTTGGAAGATGAGATGTTGATGGAGAAGAACAGAAACAGTTGCTTTGTGTCTTTGTGGATCTAGAGCTAGGGTACCAGGGGAGAAATCATTGTGCTCTATGAGAAAGTTAGGTGAGACTGGGGTATGACATGTATAAGGACAAGTGTATGCTAGGAGTGACAGATGGGTTCAAAGTGGGAATGTGATTACATTGGGGATCTAAGCTCCTTCTTGTTTGCAACAGTGATGGACAGGTTGACAGATGATGTTGGGCAGAAGTCTCTGTAGACTCTGATGTTTGCAGATGACATTATGATCTCTAGTGAGAGTAGGGAGGAGAGTCTGGAGACCAGATTGGACAACATTAGAAATGAGCACATCAGAGAGATACCCTACCCTAAAGGTAGCAGCTGAAAGAAGCAGATGATACAGCTTCACAAAAAGTGATAAATGCTGTCAGTACTCAGCTTTTAGTGGCAATTTATGCACCTTAAAATTAATTAATTAATTACAAAAATAGTCAAAGGAAATCCTAGGGTAAGTACAGTTGCTGAATGGAGGCATTTATTACAGCATGACACACTAAAAGGCCCCAACTGACAGAGAGGAGGATGCACATGCACAGTCAGCCTCACCAAGTCATTTGTCTGGAGGCATTGGCTAATACGAACATGCTGCCAAGCAAGCTAAAGAGGCACTTAGAAAGTAAACATTACTTCTGAGAAAAACTCTGGCTACTCAAAAGAGTGCTGGCTCTGACTCAAGCATCCTCCAATGCTTAAACATCAGATACTCCAAAATCCAAGTACTGATCAGCCACAACAACCTGCTGGCCTAAGATCATGTAGGCACCAAAACAGCTCAATGAAACCTAAAGGTTCCCAGTTTAAACTTGTAGCACGACGATCAGTGTTACATCTTCTGGTGTATTTCCAGATGAGTAAAGGTTCTAGACAACTTTCATTCATTTTGGTATATATGCTTACAATCTGAGCAATACTTCTGATTTTGAGTCTACCATATCTGCAACCAGTCAGACTCAAAATAATTTAGCAATTGTTTACTTCTTAAAATAGTCCGAGGCTCTAACAGAACTGCATAGAGCAAAATATGTCTACTAGCTGGTAAGTTAAGCTTAAGCAGACCCTTTAACTTTAACAACGACAACAACAATAACGGTGGTTAACACTGTTGCCTCGCAGCATGAAGGTCCTGAGTTCAATTCCATCATCAGGTATTTCCAGATGAGTAAAGGTTCTAGACAACTTTCATTCATTTTGGTATATATGCTTACAATCTGAGCAATACTTCTGATTTTGAGTCTACCAAAATCAGAGAGGTGTGGAGTTTGTATGTTCTCCCCGTGCCTGGGTTCTCTCTGGGTACTCCGGCTTCCTCCCACAGTCTAAAGACATGCAGTTAGTGGGGATATGTTAATTTGAAACTCTGAATTGCCTGTGGGTGTGAATGTGAGCGCGAATAATTTGTCTGTGTCTATGTGTTAGCCCTGCGACAGACTGGCGACCTGTCCAGGGTGTACCCCTGCCTCTCGCCCTAAGACAGGTGGGATAGGTTACAGCCCCCCCGCGACCCTGAAAAGGATACGCGATAGAGGATTGATGGATGGATAATAATAATAATAATAATAATGACAACAACAACAACAACAGGCAAATGTGAAAAATGCTGTGATGGATTAATTTGATCATGTCTCTACAGGGTGGTCATTATGTTGATCTTTAAAGACTTAATAGACAGAGTTAATAAGTACCTGTAAGATGGCAAAAGAGGCACTGTATTAAAACTACAGTTCAGAAAGCGTTGGAGAAGGTTTAGCAGCAGTATAAAGAAAAAACGTCATTTAAAACAAATGGACCCAGACATCCAGGGACTCTGGTTTGGTTGTATGAACAATGAAAGTGTGACTTGAAAAGCTCTGTTATGAAGGCAGATTGATGACCAGGAACAGTCTGCAATGTTCTTTTTGGTGGCCAAATTCACATTAGTTCTTGAACTTTTTCAACAGGCCACCTTTACCACTATTGCTCATAATTCTTTTAATCTTTTGATTTTTCATTCACTTGGCTTTCTTTCTGACTTTTTTTTTGACAAAACATGAAGCTTTGATTCTTAACTTATGGGTCTGAAAATGTAAGCCAGTGCTGAGTTTTTTAAACAAGCATTCTTTCTAACAGCCAGCAGGGGGTGTCTCGTCTGGTTGTAAAAATGTGATCGTGTAGAAGCCTTTAGGAAAATGTACCTTGTTCTGTAAGATCATTTAACAGTTAAAAAGGTCTCCACTGCTAGTTTCAAGTCTTACTAAACACAACATGATGTTCGTTTTGTAAATTAATGACCATATTAGAGTTAGAAAGAAGGGTGAAACGGAGTAAATATGCTTATCTTTATATAAAATCTTTGACTGTTAATATAAACCAATCCTGGCTTTTTTGAAATAATTCCATTCCCTCCTCTTGAAACGTCTCTCTCTATAACTCACAAGAACAACCGTAATCCTTTCTAGTGATTTTTCCACTGTGTGTATCTCCATCGCTGACATGCATGCAGACATGCTTGTTGCCATGGATGCTGTGTGAGCCTCAGCAGGCTGCCTGCTCCATTTAGTCATTTTCTACCTTGTTGAGGATGAAGCGTACGCCCACGCTTCCATCTTTTTATTCCTCTGGAAACTTAACAGGGCGTCAGAGGGCCTCGACAAGCACTGAATCAGTGTGTCAGACTCCCCACTTAACAACCACACAGGCACAGTCTGGGCTGGTGAACACAGGTCTTTTTGTTTTACAGCGGTGCCCAAATCCTCCCCTTCTCTTCCAGTGACATTCCAACTAGAACATTTTCCCTCCATTTTTTTTTTTTTTACTGACCTCCTCCTTCAACAAATAATTAAGCAAAGACGAGGCTCAACCTGAAACACACGTCCTCCTTTCAATTGGTTCATGGCATAGACTGTATGTAAAATATGCAAATGGACAATGTGATGCCACTTGTTGGCTTTTTGAGGACAATTCTGATGATAAAATGTGCTAATACTAAGATTCATAAGGTTTCAGTGTGCCAGAATCGACATGCTAAATGTGCAGCAGATCTCCCAAGGCCTGGAAATTAAATAACGCGTTCACATAAATCTTTTCAACACTTTGGGATTCTCAAAGTCCCACTGAAATCTTCAACTTACATACCTCCTGCTATACATCAATACATGAGACAGCATGGTTCAAAGGGCATTTGTCCCAGTGGTAAAAAAGAAAAGTGTGTGGATTTAAAACACTAACATTCAGAGACAGACACAAAGGGAAGACGTGGGGGGAGTACGGGGTAATCTTTCAATGCTGGGTTTCCCCGACCTGCCTAAAGTCATCCCGCTGGACAAAGAGGGATGCTCAGAAGTTTCTTTTTCCCCCCATCAGTTTCTGTAATTTCCATCTTTCCTGCTATTCTGTCTTTCTGACATGAAAGCTTGGCAAGTTGCCTCGCCACCCACACGCTCATATGAACTTACACTTACAGTACGACCCAAATATGAGCGGTTAAATATTTGGTTACCTTGTCCTTGGCTTCACTCAGCTGGTCCTCCAGTTCAGAGAAGCTGAAGCCAGCCACCGTGATGAAGTCACCAATCACGGCCACAAACTTATCCCCTCGTTCCCTCGTCCTGCTCTGCTGGTAGTGCAGCTCCTGATGCGGGTAAAACGAGACGAGAGGCGTGTGATTGGTCGGTCTCTGAGGCTGAAGCATGCTTCATTACAATTAGTTTCACTTGAGCTTTCTTGGAACTCGGATGTGCGTATTTGTGCTGTAGCGCTCGTGTTCGCGTGTGGCAGAAAACATGACATGTCGCTTTCTGTGTCGCAGAGCGTGGAACATTACCAGCATTTAAACACCTCGCCCTGCTGCCCATCTCCGCACTGCTCGAAAACATAATTACAGACAGGAGAAGAACCGATGGGAGGGAGCGTGACACAAACGCACAACAACTTACCGCCTCCAGTGCCTTCAGTCCACTTCTGATACTATGCACTTCTTTTTCCAACTCTGACAAACTGCAGAAGAAGGAAAGACAAATATGATGACAACATTTGTTAGCTGTTTATTTATGTGTGTCACAACTCACATTGTCTGTTGCTTTTTATCAAGAATTTCCTCAACATATTAAAAATCCTAAACAATTTTACTCAAGTAACAGCTGACACGGTCCTACTGTAACCACATGCAGTCAGAGGGAGAAATGCTCTTTTCCCTCAAGTGAAATATTGCACACTTACTTGACTTTGGCAGCTTCTGGTACGCTGCTGAGGTCCTGCTGGATGTGAAGCGTGTCCGGGTAGTTCTTCTCAAAGATCATGATCAAGTAGTGCAACATGGTTATGTTCCTATCGAATAATAAATAAAAAGAAAAATAGAATCAAGCAAAACAGAATTAACCAAAGTAATTTATGGAAGGATAAGGAATAGCCTCCTTTATTTTTACTCACTTTATTTAAAACACAGGTCTTTGCTATTATTTCCATACTAACTATAAGATACATCAACATATACAGAAATTGCACTGGCACAAGAGTTGCAGTACATGATATTTACTGATAGATGTGCTCAGTGAGTGCACCCGCTGAGCATGGCACAGTTCTGTGCATGCAACTGATGCAAGCAGTAGCTCTCTTGAGTTAGGATTTAGTATAACTTTGCACAATCAACATCAGTATCTGAGAGGTTTTTTTTTACCATTTAAAGATAAGCAATTGCAACATGAACATGAGACAGAGCTGAGATACTTAATCCTAAGGCAAAGGTGTAAAGTAAACTAATAAAAGGAAATAAATGTACTTGTTTCAGTTGTATTAGGGCTTAAGGTTTGAATTATTAGGGCCGTGGGCTCTTTGACTGACAGGTAGATGGAAACACAGCCAGCTGTGGTTGCTAGCTGCCTGCTAGGATTCAGCTCAGCCTGTTAGATCATTGAACTAGATCTCGGGAGCATGTTTGTGCTGCTGGTGTTCTTTAGATAATTTTTAATGCACCTACAACTTTTAATGCTTGCTGTGCGGGTAACTGTACTGACAGACCATCCAAGAAGTCTGTTGTCAGCTTTTAGAAAGTGAAATATTCTTGGATTTTATTCAGCATTTCTATCCGTTTTATGCACCCATAAGTCCTATAAATGCAACTTGCTAACCGAGATTGCTAAAACTGTCAACTAACCTATCCAAATAAACTAAAGCACTTATCCAAATGTAGTCACTCCAATAAACAAGCAGGCCCGCAGCACAAGTCAACACTTGTAACAAAGTGGATTAACTGAAGACAGCCCACCTGTCTATGCTGGACTTGGTGTCAGCGATCTTGTTGAGGCTGGAGATCTTAAACCCGAAGGCATTGCCTCTCTGGCCTTTGTTCATGAAGTTGCCGAAGGCCAGCACCACCTCCAGGACCTGAGTCAAACGTTTGCTCCGGACCACCTCCTTGGACGCGTTCAGGATGGCTGTAGGAAAATGAAGAGGGAGAAAGAGAGAGAGAGAGAGAGGGTTGCAGCTGGAGACATCATTTAGCTGGTGACTGATATGTGTGCACTCTCAGCTTTTCATATTACATAACACTCTGGGCTTTCACCATCTCCTTCCATTCTGTTACTCTACTCAAACCCACAGACACGCATACAACCTAAAAATCACCATCCTTTCCTTCATTTCTAACATCCTTCATGATGAGTGATCAATATTTCCCAAAACAACTGGGCAGCTCGGTGGGGAAACCCATCGAGTCCTTCCATCCATCCATAAAACAGCAGAGGGAGGGAATATTCCAAACATAACTCTGTAGTGTCAGCCTCTTTCCTCCAGAGAGCTGCAAGGTCTGGCAAAGTGCAGGTGGTTCCCTGTCTCCACAGAGGAAACCTCAGTGTGAATGTGAAAATCATTAACAAGTTTCATCTTGTTATTGTTGCAGTTCTTTGTGCTGTGATGCAGCATGGGAATCAGTCTTCTGGCTCTGCTGTCAGGGTTCTGAAAGGCTTCTATTGAACCTGCTGGGTGGTCCAGGGAAATATTGACTCATGCAGAGTATATGACAAAGCAACATGAATAATAAAAGGGGATGAACACTTTATTACGGTCATCCACAAACTGTGGTTTGCAAATATTTTGGGATTCTGGAGGTCTGAGTGGATCCACCAACTCACAGGATGCCTGTACTTTATTTCCAGTCCATCGAGGGATCAGAAGCAGAGGCGCCGAATTCATTTTAGAAGAGGGGATCCAAAAAAAGCAAACAAATAAAGTCTGTATCCAGAGAGATCTGGACCGGAAGTGAAGCTGCTGTTTATGACTAAAAAGCATGTTTTACTACACCGGTGACATTTTTAGAATGTGACCAAAGTGAATAAATACTGTGGACATGACATGCAAAATGTCACTTAAGTAACAGTAACAGTGTTACACACGCGCTGTATGTGTGGTTAATAAAAGCATTTTGCCCGTATTCATTATGTGTGTTAATGCTACATAAAACACAATCTCTGCAAGCTGTGCAAGACATTAAAGACAGTTGACAATTGATTTTCACCACTAGGAGGATGAGGATTTTTTGTGCTTTTTGGCTCCTACTTCAATCACTGGTGATTAGCTGTAACATTTTACTTGTTCCCAGACAATCTGACAAATGTCTCACAGCACACACAAGCTGAACTACCAGTCAGCAAATAAAACATTGCTCTCATAAGTGATGTGATGCTCATCAAAGGCCAGAAAAAACATTCCGGATTAGCAGAGCAGTGTCTTTAAAGTAGATCTGGCTCAAAGAGACTCAGTCACAACACACCCTGAGCATGCACGTGCATGCACACATGGCTATGAACCTCACTGGAAGCCTTTTCCCTCACTCTTTGAAGTTAGCTGCAGCATTTACAAGAGACGCTCTCCCCTCTTAACATAGGCCAGCTTTCCAAAACAGCCTCCCTGGTAACCTGAAAGCTGGCTTGATGGGGGAAAAAAAACCCATACATAGTTGACCGTCCTCTCGCATCATGCACACGCACACACAAATTTAACTCAAAGGTAGGATTGTGAAAAAGCTTTGGTCTTGGTGTTCGCGGCTGATGACATTTCTAGTGTGGGAAACGTTGTTTTGTTTCTGGGTGTGTAACTGTGTGCCCTAAAAAGAAAATAAGTGCTGGAAAATGTAATCTTCTTTTCCATTTTTCTGTCAAACTGCGTCAAAAGACTGTTTGACGACAGTTCTGATGCATGAATCGAATCTAAGGTCAACTAATATTTCTGGCTTTCTAAGGAAAAGCTGCCATTATGCAATATTTTATGACTGTCTCCACCCCATCTGAAGCAATCAGCTGCAAGCTCCATTCTTGCTCAACATAATCTGTAAAAATAGGTCACAAATACATAACTCCATTTCATGGCAACTGTGTGTGTGTGTGTTTTTGTTTTTCCTCTCATTACTCAGCAGCACTGAGGGGCACTGGCATTACAGTTCTGTTTTAAAAGCCAAATAATCTAGTTAATTTTTCACTGTTTGCTTTTCACTGTTCATATAATTAACATTTTTTTTAACCATATTTCTCTTTTCCTTTAGCTGCCACAAAATTTAAATCCCTGCTGGATTTGGTTTCCTCACATCAGCGCACATGTGCAGCTATGGTGCAGAGAGAAGTAGCAAGAAAAGCCTCGATGAAAACATGAAGCAAAATTTTCATGCACATAGAAAGCCAATGCAATGACCGGGCATTGGCACAAGTTTGAGCAGGGCAACACAAATGGAGGTGAATTCCCGTTTGCACGAGTGAAACTGTCACTGATGTGTTTTATACAAAAATGGGGATCCAAGAAACAAAGTTCATGTTTACATAACCTTACAGTGGCCTCGGAGGTGTTTGTTCTTACCTTCAACCTTAGGCTTTGTTTCAGCAAGACGCTCTGCAAACTTCTTCTTAAAGAACAGAGCCTGCAGTCTCTGCTGGTAATGGTCAATTCTGTTGAGGAGAAAAGAGTGACAGAGGGGGGGAAATGGGGGGAGGTGAGTTACATCTGTCTCCAGGGGAGTCCAAGTTCAAAGCTAGAAGTCACTCAACTGTGCAAAACTCCCTCTCTCAGTTTTCACTGCATTATCATCCAATAAGCGCCTATCAAAATGGAGAGTTGACAAATGGATTTGTTAAACTTGCTCAAAAGTTCACCAAAGGAGGGGGTGGGGGGGATTTCAAAGAGGGACTCAGGATATTAAATTGCAAAAAAAAGGAACTAACTAATTCCCAGATGTGTTCCTCAGACCAGCGGATATGTGGTCAAAAGGGTAGTAGCAGAGGAAACAAAGCAGAAAGGTGATATTTCATTAAAAGGAAACAAATAGATTTGTCTGTCAGGAAAAAACGAGTTCTGAGAACTAGAACAGCATCCAGGAAAAAGGCATTGATTTAGGCATTGGTGTTACTACAGTTGTCAAAACAAAACTAGTTTCTTCAGCTAAAAAAATGAATCACACCCAAGCTTGAGGCTTGTTTGGGATTCCACCCTTGTCTCCGTGCATTGAAAGCTATCAATTAAGCACCCATTCCCTGACTGGATGATCTTTTCTTTTTGCATTAAATCTGTTGCAGCTTCTTAGAAATTAAGTTCCTTTAAAATTAGTAAATTAAAACTGCAGTGAAACATATGAATTATACGCCTAACCTAGCATGGATGTTGTTACCTGAAGCTGAGTATCACACTATGTTTACCTGCTCATCTCAAAGAGGAAGCGATCAGCTCGGGCCATCCTCTCCAGCTCATGTTTGTGCTCCTCCAACAGGTCGATATCACTTTTCTCTGGGACAAACTTCAAAAGCTAGAAAGACAACAAGAATCCAAAAGTTCACGCAGAAGACTGTTGGCAGCATTTTAAACGACAGAATCGGGTCTGTTTTAATGCCGTGGAGCAACAATATTTAACAATAGATTGTAGCTTTGTGCCTTGTGTACAAAGATTTCACAGGCTGCTCTTAATCTAATCATGAAATTAGCAACTGTAGATAATCTGCAAATTCTTCTTTATTTTACATTTAGACACATTATTGTTAAACTCCATGCAGTGAACAACGTCTCATTTTTTTACTTCTCCTCTTTGCGAAATGTTTCACCTTGTTATTTTACTTTACAATAATGCACCAATCCCAAATAAATATATTATTAAGATTTACTAACTATTGCATTCTGCTTTTATTCACTTTTTTTTTTTTACATTGCCTCAGATTCCTTTGAAGCTTGATTATCATCAATAATTACATTTTCTTTCCATAATAAAGCAAGTATAGGGACATTGTTTTGACCCAACAAGTCGCAAAAAACCTGAAAAGCTTATTTTCACTGGACCATACCTGCTCCAGCATATCTTTAGCAAGCTCTTCTCTCTCATCCATCTCCAGGATTGCCCTCTTGATTTCTTCATTGCTCATTTTTAATCTAAAGGGTTAAAAAAACCAACTTTATTACAGTAAAAGAACTACTAGTGGACTAGCTCATTGCTCATAATACCAGCCTGGACCAGTGACAAACCCCGGGAACACTGCCAGCTGTTTTCAGTGCATCTGATCACTGAGCCGGGTTGCAATCAATAACAGCATTGTTAGTCTGTGCAGCAAACCCTTTATTGACCAACTGCTGACCTCATTTGGGTCTAGTCTGTAGCCCAGGGTCATTTGCTATTGACTCGAAAAGGAGTTCAGGGACCACGCTGATGTTTTGTCAGACACACAAAGAGCTCAGAAAGCATATGTATTGATCTGTAGAGGGGGTAGAGCTTAAATTCTCAAAAGGGCTTCGGACCAGCGCTATTAGGAGACAGACAAATAGGAGCCATATTGCCAAGTGGATCTTAAATGATGACAATTGATTCGGGTACAGATGCAGAGGGATTCAAAAGCCCTTGGGTGGGGGACTAGGGTTGAATAAATGCGAGTTAATATAATGTAAGCGACTCAATGTAGAGTCTGCTTGTAGCTGAATGTGTAATAATAGACCGGATTTTCACAGTAGAAATCAGAACATTACTTTCCAAGATGTTGCTTTAGCTATATAATGCTTTCAGATAAAGATGTATGGATTGAGTTACACTCACAGATGGACTAGGTGTCCATTAAAAACACATTTCTGGCTCTAGATGCATGAAGCCATCATTCCAAGCAGCTCCCACACAGAGTTAGTGCTCTAACCCCTGACCTAATGTTACTTATTTATCAGTGGTCTGCACTGAGGCCATTTCTTCAGCACTATAAAACTAATTAGCAGATAATTACTGTGGCTGAGTGAGCTCCAACCACTGCAAATACAACAAAGCAAAAACATAAAATAAAAGAAAATAAAAACAACAAACATGCTGCAAGTAGTCCAGAAAAAAAAAGCTGGGAAAGTCTTGGAAACAGTCATGTTGGACCTAAGCTGAAGGAATTAGCTGGAAAAGATAGGTTTCCAGAGAAGATCTGAATATGAGTAAAAAGAAAAGATTAAAAAGGCCTAAGTGAAAAGGTCCGGTTAGAGTTACACTAGGCATGAATCTAGAAATCAGGACTAAAAAGCTACTGGTTTAATGACCTAAGCGAACCAGGCTTAAGAGTGTTCCAGGTCTGAGAAATAACCTGAGGCTATATGTTTCACTTGTTTATAATATTTTAAATATTTTTTATAAAATTATTGCTTAATTTAATGAGGAGGTATCCAATATAACACTGTCACCATAGGCAAAAATATTCCTACATTTACTTCTCAACTATCAGGAAATAAGCCTGCACACTTCAAAATAAAACCAATAATCTCTCCAGACTGTAGTGGAGACTGGATGTAATAAAAGCATGAAAGACCTTCTCAAGCTCGTTAAAATAAATAAAGAAATAAAAGCCGTCTCATTGAAGAAAATAATCAAATATGAAGCCAACATTCTTCATATGAGATTTGCATGCTGAGAAGAGTCCGGTGACAGCAATACATGTATACGTGAGAGGACAAACAAACCTTTAGCTTTGAAATAACCGGATCTATAAGTCTAATTCAAGAGAAAAATTTAAAAAATAAAGCCGGAATTTTTTAGCATAACAGTTACAATTTGTTACAGCATTTACAGAAGACTGACATGTATGTCATACGTTAGTGTAATCTGTATAAGAGTAACTCAAAAGGCAGCCTTGCAAGTTGCAGCGCATCGAGATCTCACAGCAGATGCTAATCAGCTGTTTACTGATGATGCGATACACTATGATTAATCATTCAAGCCGAAGCCCCTTACTTTGAAAGCAGGATGACACAATTCTGTGCACGTCTGCCATCAATGACTGACAGCTCTTTGACCTTCCGCGTGCTGACGTATATGTCATCCATCGAGCCAGTCTCTTTCTGCAGAAAGACAGAAAAACAGATTACGTTTTGCTCGCATAAAATGCAAAGCGTGCACACTTTAACGTCTTTTCCTCGCATCTGCATGACATCTTTAGCTGGTTGAGAGACGACCCCTTCTGAGCGTTTAACAATGTGATAATTTAGAACAGATTCACGAAACTTTAAACTACCAAAGACAGTTTGTTGCAGTTGTTTAATCATTTATCAAACTCAGACTAAAAGGCTGCACTCTGGCCAAACACTTTAGTCATTCCCCCGACCTGTTTTTGCAGTTTTCTGAGGCCATAACGCACATCTCATTAAACATTATAAACTCCTTGACTCAGGATGGGAAGGGGCATGAAAACATGTGACACAAGCTGTGGAACAAAAAAATAAATAAACTCTACAGCAGGTCTTGGGCGAGGACATTTTTTTGGTGAGTCACCATTGCAAATCCAATGCAGGCAAACCTATAAACTTTGCAGAGCAACAGGAAACATGGCTGATAGCTTGATGTAAGCCAGTCAGATATTTCTGTAAGCTCTGCACAAATGTAGTATTAAAATGCACCAGGGGAAAGAACACATGTCTGAGAGGACTGCATGTTAAACGCATTCTATTTATGGTCCGATCTGCTTTCCTCCCTGCCAGAATACGTTCTTCCTGAGGTCGTTGAGTATGACATTTGTAAAACAGATGTGGCTTGTAAAGAAAGTGTCGTTTTTCCATGCCCGTGCTGACCCAAGGTGCCTGGCAGCCAACTGAGGTTGGCACCGGGTTAGGGGGACAACTCCCATTCACTGAAAACTGCCAAAGCCCTCTCTGCACAAGCGGTGAAAGCTATTGTGCCAACTTAACCAAGTGAAACTGGAGACTTTATCTTTTCTAACAGCTATGAAGTAACAGTGATGGAAATGTGGCGTTTACAATTGCATATTCAGGCTTTTTCCAGCTGAGATTATAATGAATAATTAAAGAAATTAAAGATGATTATTGTAATTATGGTAATCAACACAATAACAAAAAGGCAAGATAAGGAGTAATAAGGCAGTGATGCAGTGATGATTGGGATTAATGTGGACCCTCTACTCATTTGTATTGGCACCATTATATTATCCAGTGATGAAAATCATATCTTTAACACTGGAGAATTATTAACCTTAGTTTAAAGCAGTGGAAAATAATCTGATTTATGAAGCGTGTATGACATAAGATAGTTTGCTGGAAGTTTTCTGCACTTCTAGAGAGATGCCAGGAGAAACCTGAGACCAACTGGCTTCAAAATAAAAAAAAACAACAAAAAAAAACTGTACTTTTAGTTAATTTTTCTGAGGATTTTTTCCCCCCCCAAATTCTCCACCGTGCTCACTGGTTAATGTTGTTGCTAAATTTGGTTTTACTCCACTCACCGAGACTCTTTTGGTGAAGAAAGCTTTGGCTGGAAATGGTGCTAACAAGGGCAGTGAGATTGAACGGAAACTGCAAAACCATGGGCCATAAAACCAAAACAATTATCTTAAAGAAACCGTAAGCCTGTTTCAGCAAAAACAAAACACAAAATCAATAGGTTTTTATACTAGGTGACCACTTTGGTGCCTAAACTGACCAAACAGAGAATGGAAAAAAAGTAATTAAGATAAGATCTCGAATGGCACACAAACTTGTGTTTCCTGGTTAAAAGTCATTTATCTGATTTGGACCAACACCACGCCCTCTGCCTCTCTTTACTGCCTTTGTAGTACTAGAGCCTAGAATTAAGCTGAAAACAAAGCCAACACAAAAAATTGCAGTTCCTCTAGTGGCCTCTAGTGGCCACTAGTGATCGCTAGCTCCCACAGTGTGTCAAACCGCAAAAACTTGCATGTTAAACCATTTAAGTTTACAGCAAACATAAACATGTGTACAGCTTGGTAAAAAAAAATGGTTCATAAAAATTTTTACAGTGCCTAATTTCTTTTCTTTTTTTAATAACTTCTCCACCTGGATATTGGCGGCTTTGTTAGAGAGGTATATGCCCACATAGGTAATGGATGCTTGTAGCTGTCTTGCTACACTATGTTTGTGAAATTGGTGCCTTCTGGATAATTACTAATATAAATATCTAGGAATTAATATGATTGTTGGATGTGCAATTGCATGGACCATACAGCAGTTCTGGTTGGTTTTAATGTTTCCTTAGTCTGTTAGCAAAATTAGCAGATATGTGGGTCTGTCTATTGCAAACAAGCTAGCTCGCATTTGCTGCTAACATATTAGTCCACTGTCATCTAAATATAGTAACTTCTAGCTCCAAAAAGCCAGCATGGTGGTAATGGTAATGCTAATCTTACAGCTTTACAATGTCCCCAAAGCCAAAAGGTGATATCACTATGGCCACATCCATCTTTGATATACAGTCTGTGGTTTTTGCATATCAACTCCACACAATGCTAGAGAGATATTTGATTTGACTGATGTTTTTGTTCTAACATATTTAGGTATAATAATGTTGAGAAACGTTCAGGGCTGCAGTGCATGTGTTCTGTCGTTAAGCTATGAGAATGCTTTGGCATTAGAAAACTGCACAGGATAATTTTATGTCATAACTTTTACACTGTATGACTTATCATTAATATTCAAAATCTTGATGCTAAGGTATGCCGATCAAAGTTCATACATTCAAACCCATTCATTACACTATTCTAGCTGGCTGGCTGCTTCTTTGTTGCAGAAGAGAAAATAACAGAGAAATAAAGATGGTTGAGAAGCTAGAGGATTTAAACTCACCTGTTTGAAGGATTGGTTAGTGAGCAGGTCCTGCCCAGGCAGTCGAAGAGTGCAGAGAGACACAAAAAAAAAAATTGAAAACACATGCAAAGATTAGCACATCAAGCAGAAAAAAGGTGGTGGCTAGAGCAAAGAAATATAACTACGCACACTACAAGCTGAAGCCGGGAAGCCCTCTGTGAGAAAAATCATCTACCGTCCGAGTCATCAGGGGCTCATGAATCTAAACCTCTCTGTACTGCATAAATTTGGTTTCTGTCTTCTCAAAGAGGTCATGATTGTTATAATGAATTCTTTTGATTGCATCTACATCTGCCCTGACGTGGAAAAACACAACCATGAAAAATGACTGCGGTAACTAATCCTACCGAGGGCAAATGTAAACAAAAGCCCATTTTTAAAGTAGAAGGACCAGTGACAAGCTTAAAATAAGTAATTATGCCATGAATAAACACTGCAATACTGTCCAGCTGAATCAAATCTAGCCAAATGGAATCGAGTTGTCAAAGCCAGGAAGATGTTGGGTTTTATGTGGCTACGTCCATAGAGATCTGAATTTAACCGTTGGCCTGTGCCAATAAAAACCTGCTCTGTATAAATAAATACCCACAGTAAATCACTGTCAGAAACAACCTCAAGTGACCCATTCCTCTTTAATAAAAGCCTGCAAAGAGAGGATGGGCTTAAGGCTGTCAGAAGGCTTTTAAGCGACACTGTAAAATACATTACAAAGGAATTCAACAATTTTAATGCTTCAAAAGAGACTTTGCATTGAGCCAACTAATTAGAGCAAATTAACATTCCACTTAAACATATTTAAATCTGTGTAATATATCAGTTGGTGTAATTCCACCCAATATTACCACATGACAAGTGGTGTGCAATTAGTTTGTGGCACAGAGGGGTGTAATTGCGCCGCACTGTATGGTGTTGCCACCAAGACAATTATCCTATTAGTTAGTGCCATGATTTAGTGAATGCCCTCTTTATTTTAGCTTTGGTAAAAAGTTTCCTGTATCGTGACTCCTCGTGACTTCAGCGGTTTCCTACATGTCGCCCTGATTCATGAGCCCATGAAGAACCAGTCAAGGTCTCACACAAATGCTCTGCAGACACTAGTGCAAAGCAGCAGCTCTGTGGCATCTCTACAATAAGGCATTCAGCAGTGAACAGCTGCTCATGTTAGCCCGGAGCTGGACCTTGGCGCTCTCAAGAGTTCCTTTTTACACAACCCACCCTTTAGCCTGTCACACACACTTTCAGTAATACACACAGTTCAAGAATCTAGGCCAATATGGTACTCCACACACACAAAACAATTGCTTATACGCACACACTCTCACACTCACTTCCAAGTCATAAAACTACAAGCCACTTCCAAACAAATCCAAACCTGTTGTCTCTGATATGCTGAAAACATCTTCTCTATGTCTTTCAGGTCGAGGATCTTGAAAGCTCTCAGATCATCAATGTCGCTCCAGATGGTGCCATTGACCATGTTCTAAAAACAGGGTGGAGTGACATAAGAGGTTCATGCGTATACACTGATTCATTCACAACTGCTCATTTTAAAACTGTTACAGTTCAAAATATGAGGTCAGCATATGTACAAACAATCCCCATGCGCCAAAATTTTCAGGCTTCAGACTGCTCTAAACACTCCACTTCAGGATGTTTTTTCATCCTCTCCTCTGTGGGATGTCACAGAGTGGGGACATCCTTACATGGTTGCTGAGGCAGACAGCTTAGACTGTGAGCACAGAAGCTGAGTGAAGTGGTAGATGGGACCTAGAATATGATGAACTGATGCTCAACTGAAAGGAAGATGCAGTGTTACATAAAACAGGAGAAAAGAAAACCTCTGAGGCTGAAAAAGCAAATGTAGAAGTTCCAAAAAATACATTTCCACAAAGCAGATATGCAAGTTACCAGAACGCTAAAGTTGAGGCTTCAAAATGAGACTCCATCTTTCCATCTTTTATATACAGTCTATGCCCAGAAGAGTCCAAAAATGATAATGTAGACAGCGAAAGCAGAATACGTCCACTTTAAGTGCTGATTTGAGTTTTATTATAATTCATATCCACTTCATATTTATTTTTGTTATTTCAGAGTAGTAGAAGTAATACTAGAAGTACTAAAGAGGAAAATTTTCTTATTTTGACAACAATATACAGACATATATATGTCAGAAAATTAATGGCCGGGCATGTTCACCTTTTATACACAAACGATAGTTCAACCCTTTTATGTTAATGCGCTTACATTTTGGGAAAACCATGGCTTGAATGACCCCCACCCTTTAGTTTAACAATGCAGTTTTCCATGTTCACTTACCTCTCCTAGTTTGGCCCAGTTGAATGACTTCAAAGGATGTGAAGGCTGAGGGATGGACTTGGAGTGCATGCTGCTCATCGAGTTAAACGATGAGGGAATGGGAGGAGGCGGAGCTCCAAAAATAGGTGGGGCTCCTGGTGGAGGAGGTGGTGCCCCAGGTGGAGGAGGTGGAGGTGGGGGAGGCGGGCAACTGAATGGTAGAGGAGGTGGGGGTGGAGGAAAGCCGCATGTCATAGGTAGTGGAGGCGGAGGCATAGGGCCACCAGGAGGAGGAGGGGGAGGTGGGAAGGATACATTTCCGCCCTGCTGGAGGTCAAATGAAAGATCAGTTACTAAATAAACCGTAAAAAAGGGATTACAAATTACTTTAAATTGATGAATAAATTAAACATTAAACATTAGCAGCTCACAGCGATGTCATTGATGCGCGACGACAGGTCCAGCACTTGTTCCCGGGCCGAGCGCAGCTCCACACCTTCACGCTGTAGTTTATCCTTCATCTTGTTCAAAGTCTTCATCATGTCCTCTTTTTCCTGCGTTTTGGTCTCACACTCCCGCTCTTTCCGCTCCAGTTTAGCTAGCAGCTCTGCATGCTCTAAAATCAAACAGTGGTGGAGCAATGGGTTGGCACGGTGTTAGCAGATTTGGATAACAGTGAATACAGGCAAGAAGAAAGATAAAACCATGATGGATTCTGGTGAACTTTAGCTTTACCTTTTCTGAATTTCTCTGCTTGTTCTCGCCATTGTTTCACCTCATTTTCATTGACCAACCTGTGAGGCAGACAGACAAGAATAAGCACAGAGAAAGTGGACACTGGTCTGCAAAGAATTCTTGCATATAAGAGGAAACTTCAGTCCAAACATGTCAATACAGGACATTTGAGAAACCCATTGATCAGGGTTACTTCTGCTTTACTTCATCTTTGCGAGAGGGATTGAGATTTATTTCCTGCATTGACCGGTTTGTTGCGGTTTCCTCTTTTAAGCATCGTTATACAGCATTAGTGCTCAAATAAAACCTGTCAGTTATCTGTTATGAGTTCTAACTCCTGGTTCTTGGCTCAGATTGAGGTTATGTTTAGTTTTAAAATTAAGGTTAAAGGAGGTAAGGAATGCGCATTGCCGATTATTGTACATGTAAACAAAAAACACAAATATGAGATATAAGTGTAAGTTAATAAATATATTGTATTTAGTGGGATTTTTTTTTAATTGTAGGAAAAATAGTGGAAAGTGAAACCTTGAGCTCCACTGGTAGGTTTGGCTAGAGTTGAGAGAAAAACATGTTGCATCATCACTACTCACAGAAAAGCTGTTCTTAACAAGGAGCCTAAATACATAAAATATTAGACAATCAATGCACCAAAAATAGGATTGTAATAATAAATAATATAATTAAAAACATAATTATTTTTTAAAAGAAGAAATTTTTTTTTCCATTAATTGCTGTGTTTTGATTTATTTGCGTGAATTTATCAGTTTACCCACTTAAATTTTGTTTTTTGTTTTTTTAAACTTAACTTGTTAAATAATACATTAAGAAAATAGATGTAACTATGATTATATTAAAATACAATAGTTACAATAATTAAAATATTGCTTTCATTTATTTTTCATTATTTTTTATAATCTATTCAACAATTTAAACCAAAAAACAACAGGTAAAGATTTAGATTGTAAATATAAATTGTAATTTATTCATATATTTATTTATTTGGTTTTCATAGTTTTGGAAGTTTTGGATAGTTTTGGCACTTTTGGTCCTCCATAGGCTGGCTGCCACAGAGGACAATAATACCACTGTGATGATGGTTCACACTTAAAGGCATCAATTCACACCAGGAAAGCAAACTGGGCATTAGTCAGTTTCGGGGCCTTTAAAGTGGTCGTGTTTAAGAAGTTGATTACAGAGTCAATACTGCTCTATTTATAGTTGAAGCAATGTTAAAAGGATCCAACTGATTAAAACAAAAAGACACAATCAGTTTTTCTTGACTGGTCAAATAAACATTTTTGCATGACTGTGGAAAAATGTGATTTGTACAAGAGCGTCAATTCTGGGGTCGGGCACACGTGTGAGTATTCAGAGCCGTCGTCATAGTGACCACAGATGATGAATGACTTTGTCTCCCGGCTGTTTTAACAGTTGTTTTAACATGCGCTCCACCATCTGAGCTAACACGGCACTAGTCATACGTTTTTACCCGTTAACCGTCAGGACCTCCTGCGTGCAGCCGATCCGGTAAGGAAATCTCAGCTTATGCACGCTTTTTCCAGGCAACATTTATTTGAAGTGAGTTTATGGAAACAAGAAGAGGCTGGCAGCAAATGTAAAGTGAGGGGAAGGTTTCAACCATTCTGATGCATCTTCAGTTGATAGCAATGGGCATCCAGGCTCAGATGCAGCATCCAAGTTTGCATTCTGATCGCTACTGGAAAGAATTCTGCTCAAGCGTGCTGATTGCACTAACAACAGTGGGTGAATACTTCACCAAGCTACATGTTTTATGGTGCTTTCACCACAAAGACTAAACACATTCATCTGTTATGGTAAGCTTGCTTTTAAAAATAACAAAAATGAGGAGAACTGAAGAGAAGAATGACAGCACCAAGTTACGGCAAAGACAGAGCTCTAAATTCAGTCTGTGTGCACTTGTCATGTACCAAGACCCTGACTTAGCAATGATCATTTGGCTGTGCAAACCTTCTCCTTCCAAGCCATAACACTTCCCCCTTGTCTGCCTCGCTGCACCTGAACATGGCTGACTTGGCCCAACAGCCCTCCTAATGCGATTAGAACAATTTCCTTTTGATCTCTGGCTTCCACTTCCATGCCAGTTCACGCACAGAGCAAGGTTTCCTCCGATTCAGTCCAAGACCCCCTGCTGCCACCTTCACATCACCTCAGCTTCCTGTAAAATTACATTCCCTGCTCCCTTTTACCACGTGCTCCTCTGCAATAGCCTGCAAAACCCTGTGGTTTATTGTATATGTATATGCTCCTCTGTACTAAAACACCATATTCCAGTGTTTATCTCTCCCAATCTTTGATATAGAAGAAACACATGATATCAGGGCTTTGATCTCTGTTGCTAGTGATGCTGATTAAATGCATTAACTACAAGATTTTCTCAGAAAGTTGGAGTGTTTACAGTACTGGGGGATGAGGAGAAGCTTTTGAAAAAGGCATTGAGTGGTTGATTGACTTGAATCATCACTTGCAACAATCATTTCCAACCTTTTCCCAGTGGGCATGAGGTACAAGCAGCCCTGGCAGGGTATCAATCAAGATCCTGTCATATAAATACATTACTATAGTAAAAAGCTTCATTAGCGATCACGTGTCCACTGTTGATCAATGAGAGATTTCACTCACATGCGAATGATGTTCTTTACATTGAAGTTGTCCAGAGGGGAGATATCAGGGTCCTCTCCCTTGTCGTCCTGCATGACGATCTGCTGGAGGATCCGGTCTAAGAGCTGCCAGTGCTGCAGGGTGCCACCACTACGCTTATCTGTTTTTTTAGGGGGGGTTTTCATGAATAAAAAGCTCAATAAGCTCAATATAAAAAGATGAACACTGAAGCAAAGTATAGCCTAGAAATACTTGATGTTTCTTCTCCCCAGGTAAATGTGAGTACTCACAGGGCATCTGCAGACAGTGTTGCAGGATGGAGAGGAGGTGTGGGTAGGAATCAGTGTGGCTCAGCTTCTTCTTGATCAGCTCAAACATGGCACCAGCACTTTTAGTATCTACATGGGTCTGTTGAGTAAACAGAAGGAATCGGTACCACACAGCTGTTTAATTACCTACAATCTAAAAGGAACACACTAATGTCAAACCAGGGAAAACTCACCATATCAAATCTTTTGGCCAGCTCAGAGTCGTCCTCGTTTCGCACCATCTCAAAGAAATCCAAATGCCTAAACAGAGAGATAAAAAATGTTCCTTCATTTGATCCCAAACTTCTGTATTTATTTAATTACCTTTAGAATTTTATTACTTGTTAATAATAACTGCTTGTAAACATTCGGGGACAATGCATTTCTTTGTAGAGTTTCAAATGTTAAAGAGGGCTTACTCTCCTCATTTCCAGCTCCTTATTTCTATTCCTAGACTGTACTAGGGTAGCATGATTCACTATATCTGATTTGGTCTTGATTGAATCTCCCGTCTATTATCTTAATCAAGCATATAAACATATAAACCCTGTTTGAGACAACAGTACCGCAGTAATACTCCATTTTAGGAAAATTAAATGAAAAGGGTGGGATGTTTTGTTATTTTTAAAAACACATCAAAGATTTAGTTTCCATTTCTTCATCAGTGACTCACCTATCCAAAGTGGCGTTTTCGTGCTCTCTGAGCTTTTCGATGACCGGCTGTATGCCCAACATCAGGAACTCGTACCTTAGATGGAGGCGAAACTCCAGGTTGTCCTGAACATAAAGGATCAAACAATAAGAGAGGACATGAAGCTGTAATAAATCCATATGTCATATTTAATGGGACATCAGATACCTCAGAATCTAAAAAGTGTTGCATGTATCTTGGTATATATCATCTTTAAGCAGCATTTTAGCATAATTACAAAAAGAATACTTTGATTCCAAAACCCACTGCTATATCTAAAATTCTCTAACAGGTCCTGTCTTTTATTTTTGTTTACTCGGTACAAAATCTTTAACTAAAAAGTCAACAGTTCTTAGAGGAAAACACCATCTATGTTGTTCATGATGATCCACAAACAAAAGCCATGCCACTGCATCTATAGTCAAAGCATGGCTGCACTTTATCGTATATTTCACTCAATTTACCTTTAAGCTCAGAATGAAACAAACTTTATTATTTGTGAACCATAAAAAACAAACAGCCTCTCCTGATGCTTTAGTGACTATTCTTACAAGTATTTAAGAAATCTCTTTCCATGAGAGTTACACTCATTAAGTTTTGTATACAGTTATTTAGAGTGTGTTTAACAGGCATGAGGCTGTGAATGCAGACCTCTCCAGCCCCAGCGTTGAGCACGGCGTTAATGAAAGACATGATGGCGGTCTTTAAGTTGACCTCGTCTCTGTAGCGTCCTGTACTTTTGTCCAGCTCATTCAGCAGCGTCTGGAAGATCAGAGGAGACGGCAAAGTTAGTCAGCAAGTGCGTTTGATCGGAGAAAAAAAAAAGAAATTAATTGGATAGTAATTTCAATCTATATTTAATTTAACAGGCAAGCAGCACAGGGCTGCTGTTCTTAGTTCTTGCCCCCTTCTTTGCCTCTTAAACTGACCTTTGGCACTCTTTAGTATCTTAATCATAATTCAAAGAAACATTAAAAGCCCTCGTAAGTTTGAATCACTCAGCTCCTGTGGTGTTAGCTTAGCCAAGGTGGCATGATTTACCGCACACCCCAGGGGATGTATGAGATGTGGTTTGTTGATTCAGTCCTGCTAGTCACTAAAGCACTACACATACTGTGACCTCCATAACTTAAGATGTCCTCACCCGCCTTTAATAACGCACGTGTGTTGACGTAACCCAAGGCCAGCCGTCTGAGGCACAATTCTCCAACTTATCAAAATGACCGCAGCTTGATTTATTTTAGCATTACCCAGAAATATTTGTCTGCCTTTACCCATAATCTATGTCTGCCTCACACTGTCAGCAAAGGCTCCTCAAGCCTGAATGTGCCACGTGACATGGCCCTGCGTTAACCTCAGATACTAACAAAAGAAGCTTCTCTTACCTGGAAGCGAGTCCTCTCAGCAGCATATTTCTGGTAATGTGCCATGGCTTGAAGCACCTTCTTGTGTCCATCTGGCACCAGGCACACCGCCCCAAGAATCTCCAGTACTGCCACTTTGGTCTTGAAGTTCTCTGTCCGGAGGCTCTGTGAGATGGTATTGATGCTCTGCGGGTGGGCCAGGACATGCGCACGGCCCTGCGAGTTGTTCATCAGCGCCTTGATGCACCCGATGACGGAGGTGTGGACGCGGCTCTCCGACGTCTCGTAGTCCATGCTGCGCAGGAAGTTGAGGAGGCAGGTGAGGCCGTCCAGCTCGATGAAACGCGTAACAAACCTAATGGAGGACAGGAGGAAAAGCGCAGGGTAAAGACTGAGCCAGTGTGCTAGTTTACAACCAACGCACAATATAAAGACAAAGGTTCATACTAAAACTGTAACCTAACCCATATTTTAACAACACAGTGAAATTCTGCTTCCATAGTTCCCGGTGATACACTGGGCCTTTCTCCTCCAGACCCCTTCCCATGCCTTCTCTCCTGCAGTTTGTGTTTTTGCCTTCTGTTTGTTAATCACAGTTTTCCTGTGCTCCACTTTTCTCTCTTCTTTTTTAAAGCAAACTCAAGTCTTGCTCACAGGGGATCATATCTTTTGTTTTTCTTCTCCCTCTAGTGTAGCCATAGAATATAAAACTCTGTTAGAGGTCAGTAGTGGTGAACTGGCACTGGACAAATATAATGAAAGTGAAAGTGTGATGAAAAAAGTTGGGGATTCACTATGGACATCCATCTTTTTGGACTTCACTTTAACATTTATCTCATTTGAAGGAAAAAAAATCCTCAATTTTGACACATCTCTCCTGCTGACCATCAAGTGGCTGAACTAATTAGAGAGCAGTGAGCTATTGACCTCTGTGGATGAGAAGCAGACTGGTTGAGTGGCAGGCAGGACATGTAAACAGTGAGGGATGTCACATCCAGCGAGCACAGTGGGGGCTGGACTGTAAATGACCTTCCCACTCGCTAAGATTCCTGATAGGCCTCATAAATTACTTCAAACAAACAAGGGATTGTAAGGAGAAAAGAAAGGGGAGAGGAAGAGGAAAGAAGCATGGAGTCAAGAAGACAAAGGGACAGAGAGGAAAGAGCGAGAGTCTGACAAGAGGGTGCTGAGATTTATTACCATTCATTGTAGCAAATACATTGTTTTGACGCTTTTAGAAGTATGCAGACCATTCCCCTCCCACTGCTGTCTTGGCACAAAAGAAATGTGAAAAAATATAATGCAGAAAAATCTATTTATTATCCTTTATGACGAGGCCAGAGCTCTTCCTCTGCTCACACATGATTAATCCCAGATTTCCAGCAGATGCACTCACAGAAACTCAACCTGGCACGTCCAGTAAATCTCTTAAAGAGATATCATCCTCTGATCTCCAGCAGGCTCATACAGTATGCACGCATGCATACAGTCAGCCTCTCTTGGCAATGCATTCAGAACACTCATGCAACCTTTCAGCAGACTTTCCTGTTTGAGCGAAGACGCTGCAGTCTCCACTCAGCACCACGGTGACGAAAAAGAAATCCAACGTATGAGATATGAATTGAGTCAGATGTAGCACAGACAGTGGAAGCAGCGAAGTCAGAACAAAGCCAACTGTTTTAAGTTCCACATTATATCAGTGACAAGCCTTTGGCCGGCCACGCGCCTGTCCACGAACCGAGAGCCCACCTCAGAGAAAGAGCTTTCATAGTGGAAGAGAAATTAAGCTGAACATCGCTGTGATTAATGTATGGAAAGCTGAGGGTGACAGATGTTGTTCTTGGAGTTTGGGTTCAAAAGAGTGGACGAGATTCAAGACTTCGCTCACTGCCAGCTTCACTTCGCTCCCCAGTATGCACCGACATAACCTTTGCAGCATAACCCGATGCCCGTGCGGGCGCTTAAGCAGATACATGTAAAAATATACATGCATGTCTCTTTAAAACATTCAACAGTGACTAATCCTCTGGACCGTTACTAAACCTAGTAAGCTGACATTCAACAATTCTCTCCTCCTCCTCACTTTATTTTCTCTCCAGTGAGCACTTGAATCAATGGATCCCATATCCTCTGACTTTGTAGTCCCCTCTTGTCTTCTCCTCTCAACTGACATTCACGCTCAGCCGACTGGCGCGCACGGGTTTCTGTCCTCCCCCCTTTGCTCTTGGAACAACCGCTGCATACTTCAAAACCCGCAGTGAAAGCTCAACAACTGCATACAATATGAGCACAGGCAGAGCTGCCGAACAATACTGACGCTGAGCCAAACACACACATACACACACAAATAGGTCTTCACACAGATGAAAGAAAGAAAGAAGCAAGAAATAAAACTTGGAACAGAATGAGGCTAAACAAAAGCGACAGAGGAGCAGGAAAAAGTCAAGGCCTGCGATGGTCAAAGGTAAAGTCTCGGATTTAAATTTGAAAAAAGCCCTAAGATATTTGCCTTATCTTACATTATTAAATGAGTTTCAGTGCTGCTATCTTTAAAACAACATTGTAATTTGTATCTGTATTGATCTAAAAAGCATAAAAACCCCTCAGCCAGAGGCAGAGGACGGTGTGGAAGCTAATCCAGATGCTCAAATTTAAATTTCATTCCAACCAAACGTATTTTTCGCTGCAAGACATTCTGCCTTTTTGAACTGTGGATGACCCGTGTGTGGCAGACACTTGGCCGACAGTTCGCTCTCGCCTCAAAGCCTAACCACACAAACTTATCAAAGGCCAACACGTCCACACACACAAACTCAAGTGATCATGTGCCTTTCTAACTCTCGTTTACCCCTCACTTAATCACACGCACACTCACCATCTCCTTCAGACACCCACTCGTCTATATCCAGACGCATTTTCACACGTCATGTTCGACTATAAAAGGTCTCCAAAGACAACGAGAGCCCGGGAGGTTCTCCAGAGGTGCTGATTAAACCGTGACCAAGGTGTCTGCAGGGCTTTTAGGAGAAGTCATACGATAATCAACATTACTCTCATTTTACTCGATGTGGTAAATGAAGGGTTGAGCATAAAACTGTCACATATGTAGATAGAAGTTACAATACAAACCCTATCTGAGGTGCACACCTGTGATTTGTACATATATAGTATATCATGGTTTACTGGTTGTGCGTGCATGTGTATATGTGTGTGACTTTTTCCACACACAAACATTTCTACAAATTATACAGATCAAAGATTCCTTGTACAAAGTCAGTGTGATGTTTCTGATCTGTTCGAAGATTTTTAGTGTATGACTGAGTTCATGTGTCTCACCTCCTGCTAAATCTACCAGGGCACCACAGCAAGCCTACATGAAGCAGGAGTATTTCCAGTTGCGAAAATGTACCTGACTATCTCCTGCTTTATGCCACATGTGAGAAAAGGCAACTGTCTCCTTACACTCAATTCATATGAAGTACAAATCATGTGACCACACCACAGCAGTGTTCGAGGGCGATCAGATAAGATCACTTTTTTTCTAATTCACCCACAGAGTTGAAGCCTTTATTTCCCAACTAATGATGATGTCTCAAATGGCATCATGTGGGGTAATTTAATGGACTAGACCCAGCATTGCCCAGGGGAAAGAAAGGTTTTATACAATACTTACAAACAGGTTTCTAAAAGTAAAATTAGTTGTGTTTCTCTTTAACAGACATTAGCTTTGTATTTGTAGGTCAAAAGAGGGTAATTCAATGGAAACCTAATGGAAATTAACTATAAAGTATAAGTATTAAAGATAATTTATCTCAATTTCAGGACTGGGACCATACCTCATACACTCCTCTTCTGGTTCTCCAGCTATGTATGCTTTCCTGCACTGTAGAAGACTTGTTCTCATTTTCGTGACTCACTCGCCCTCCCTCACGCCCCTTTTTAGTACATGGGGATCGGCCCAGCCCAAGAGCTGCCACCAGTCCTCACTGAGGCATTTCCCAGACCCTAGCCTCACATCCATGCTGATTCCATCTGCTATTATCTTACAAAAAATGCTGTCAAATCTAATTGAGGATGTGGTTTCTGCTTGCAAAAAAGATGATCTCAACTACTTTTTCTTTTTCATGGACATAAAATACTAAAATTTCACTTACCAAAACTAGAGTACAGACTTCTTGCATGGTTTGCTTGTACATTTAACTGGACAGCAAACCATAGCTATATTAAAAATAGGCACTAAGAGCAGAAACGTGTTCAGTTCTCGTCTTTTCATTTTGGCTTTAACCCATGAGGTTGCCGTTTGGGATTAAAGTGAAAGTGAAGTATAACCCCTGTGCTCAACTCCACTTTTTCCCTGCTCTCCATCTGTTCAAACCTGCCTGCATGGTCCACCTGGCCATCACTCGTTTCTTTCCATTTCCTGTTGAACTACTAAGTACCAAAGGGAGAGAAATCAGCGCTCTAAGAGAAGCAAACACTCCATCTGAGACTCTTTGAAGGTGTGAGACTCTACTCCCCCACTAATGTATTTGGTAATATGTGAAAACAGATATAAAGTTCACCCTCTGTTGAGCGGAACCTTTGAGAGATCTGTCGACAAAATGTTTTGAAGGATAATATTTGTATGTGATGGCAGCGAAACATCCAAAGAGCTGTTGACACAAGAGCAGGGTGAAAGGCTGCAGTCGACTCGAGTAAATATTCTTGCTGGAACAGATTTGCAGAAACAATGTCCACAGAGAGCCGCCTTGGGAAGCACTACAGTGCTCTGCTGACATGAGCCTGGGAGTGCAATGCATTGTGGGCCAGAATGGCCTCAGTGACCTCCACGATAACTCAGTTTCCTGTCCTCGTGCAGTTATGTCGCAACGGAAATGACAATGATGGAGGAGGGTCACGTCTTAGAAGCGCAAAGCACGCTCATCAACATGAACATAAACATCAGTGCAGATGTGCAGATGACTCAACAAATCAACAGTGATTATGAAAGTATATCCAACTGCATAGTTAAAATACCACAAGTAAACATTCAAATATTTGGACGCTAACTGGAAATGTACACCAGAATGTGTATATTTCATTTAACTACATAGCTGCAGCAGTTTGTGTTTGCCTATCTACCCTCACATGCCCACTTGAGTTGAGATTCAGCTTTACGTGAGTAAATACACAACCGCAGTGTGATGCTTCAAGCTCCATTTGACAGCTGGTAAACAAAACAATAACTACCGGCATGGACGCGTGATAAGCTGCTAACTCGAGGGGAAGAAATCATTTTCAAAATGCCTCCTTTTTTATGGCTGCTTAGAAATAATCACATTTATATTTGAATGAAGACATCTGGGCCATTAAATTAGTTTCCAACCATCAAAAAAAGGTTTCTGGTAAATGGCAAATTAAGTGCAGCATCACTCACAGGGGAAAGAATATTTCGCCTGTGGTCTCCTCTTACAGGGAGGCATCGATACAGTCCAATTGTTCTGTTATTGAGTGATTTCATTTTTCTTGCACCAGCCTACCAACTTCAGTTTAATAAACACTAAGCCTTTGACATTTTAAGGCATGGACAAACTTATGCATGGGTCGTTTTTTCGTTTAGATTTTGGGTCTCATCTTTCCACTAGTTTGATAGATTAGGTTTTGTGGAATTAAACAAGTCCAAAATTCACATTTAGGAATTTATTTAAGTGCATGTTGTCCAACGGAAATTGGTGCTTAATGAGATCTAGAACGACGTCTAGCAAAAGCCACAAACCTCACCATGCTCTAGCAACCACAACTACTAGACCATCATCTCATACTTCCTCTATTTCCAGCACTTTGATCCCAGAAACCTTGGGTTATTTACATATATTTGTATCTTATAATCAGCTAGTGTGTCTCTAGTAGCTTTCGTCAAAAAAATATACTTCCTTCTTCTGTAGCTACACAACATATTGGTTAATGAGTTTACCACTACTGGTCATTATTGATCATCTATAAAATTTAAGACAGCAGATCAGTTTGATCTCTTTCAGGAACAAGAGACAAACAAGAGATAGAGTCTACACCAACTTCTTACCCATTTAATAAACTCCATCCACTGAACTCTGTGATCTGTAGGCAAGAGACCAAAGATTTTAAGCAGCAGAAGATTTCTGCATTGCATTTTCTTGTAGAAAATCAGTTTGCATGAAGAGCAAAGCAGGGATGGTATTTTCTGAAATGCACTGGATAGTGATCAACTATTGTCTAATGATGAGTTAAGTGATTACTGGCATTTTCAAATTATCTGTCTTGGTAAACAATGACTGGTGCAAAAGCCAGAAATGTTGGCATGGATACCTGCTGGCTGCAACAGAGACCCCGACAAATTGTCTGGTGCCCCAAGAGCCTGAAGTGAGCAGACGAGCTGATGTATTTCCAGACTGTGAAATCAGATTACGGCTGCGGTTAGGCTGAGTTCATTATTAAAACGACAACAGTTTGTTTTGTTGCTCTCAAATTCTGTGGCCTGTAGTATTAAATCCATGTTTGTTGTTCCAGGAACTGAAACTACAGCCAAATCAACCAGGATCAAAAAGATCCTTCCAGATTATTCTGTCCTCTTGAAGTAGCAATGTCAGGAAGAAAGAATGTGCAAATCTTAAAATAACGTTCACACACACAAACAAACACTTGATTGAAACATGTCACCAGCAAAACAGCCTGTGAGTGAAAGTGGGTGGCCTACTGATGATGTGCTCTGCCTGGCACCCTGCATGTCTACAATGTGTTTGACTCCCCTGGCCCTGCAGAGCAGCATGAGTAGCAACAAGGGCACCTCTTCACAACCAGGCCCAGCTGCCTCTCCAAAGTGAAGGAGGGAGGGAGCAAGGCAGCTTCAGGCAGGCATCCAAAGCTGGGCATGAGTCAAAGCCGAATACGCACAGACACCACCATGTCTCACAAGATGAGGCCGTAAAAACTCTATACATTCACGACGGGACAAGGAAATGACACACAGCGCAGGTGAGGCTCTGCTTTATGTATCCCAGACAGCAAAGCACAAAGTCATCATTTCGCTTTAACTGCCCGTTCATCACAAAGCCCACGCTTGGCTGGACATTTCCCTGAACACCCATATTCTGTGCAACACACCTGCTGCCCGCATCGCTGTTCCACTACTTTAAAACATCTGCGTGCTAATGAGCAATAACTCACTCTGTGAACAGCATGGGAGCAGGTGGACTCTGAATAGTGTTGGCAAAGTCACCTTTGATGAGGTAAAATAAGTGAATACAACACTACGAGGAAATGAATAGAGAAAAAGAGACATATAAAAAAAAGCCTTAAACTATAAATTAGGTAAAATAAAAACAGGAGAACGTGGAACTGCACTGGGGTATCAGGTGGGGTGTCACTTGAATATATGTATTTTTAAAAAATCTACATTTATTTTATGTAACATACTATGTGGCAAAGTCACAACAGTTGCCTAGCATAGGAGAAAGGGAGCAAGCAGGGAATCATTTAGGCTACCGCTATCATGGAAAAGTGGACTGAGCAAATTAAAGTGTCAAGTCATAACATTTACCTGGTCTTCTTTTTTCTACTTTGTTGTTCTAATTCTTTCAGGCTGCTTTATGTGTGTAAAAAACAGTTTACGGTAACACCAAGCTAATTACATTCATTAGCTAGTTGTAGCTCGTTTCTAAAAACATCGTAACAGTACAAAAAACCCTCCCCGATGATTAGGCCCAGCAGGGGGTCAGTTTAGACCTGGAATAACTCAGCACCAACAGTGTGGTAATGATGGCAGAGAGATGACAACCTAACTTGGCCTCTCAAGGATTGAGTTGCTCTGCAAGTGCCAAATACTTTGGGATTTGGCCTTTAGAGAAACTATGGTAGTAAAATTGCAGAAGATTAACTGTACTTCCCAAATAAACACTGGGTAAACGTTATCAAGTGTTTGTGAGACTAGATAGCCATCTCACCAAAGTGATGCTTATGTTGAAGTAAATTTAAGTTTACAAGTAGTCGTCCTGCTTTCCTGCTACAATTACAAAATTTTTTTCATCATGTACTGCAAATGCAGTATGAACTGTGCAAACCCCTCCTGAAAACCTACTCCTTTCATAATGCACTGCATCATCTAACCCTTTAAAATTTCTTCCATAAATTAGCCCAAGGCACTAAAATGGCATTTTCACAAATGTGCAAATCCTGTTACCTCAGACTCGGATAAGTATTCCTACTACCCTGAATATGTCAAAGGAGGAAAACTGTGACGATATATTCAGATATGTTGTTTGCCGCAACAGCAGGTAATGGCATAAAGTACATATAGCTCAGCAAGAAGTTTTTCCACTAATTAGGATTTTCTTTCCTGGTTATCAGTGTCTGAAACTGTGTTCAAAGTTCAGTTTCACTGAGCACACAGAGAGCATCGGTAGTCCCCATGTGGGATGAGTGTGAGATCATCAGAGCAGGTTTAGGCTGTAAATCAGCTTTAATGAGCACACTCAAAGCCCATCCCTGTCAGCTACATACAGCTTAGGATGTCTACCACATGAACAGGGCTGATCTTATTTAATTAGCTTTGAAAAAAAGTGTAACTCTGACCTTAAATATATTATAAATCCTTACTTATCCAGAACCTTCGAGCGCACCTTTGCATTCATATTACTTTCTTTTTTGTGTGGTCAGTAAGTAAGAGTTAGAAGTCACAGAGTGTTTACTATATATCTGTATTTGTTCATTCAGCAGCACAACAAATATATTTGTCCTGTTTAGTTGCCAACAAATTATTTCAATCATCACATCACACGTTCAAACCTCAGTGATTTTTATTACCAGAATTTTGCCAGTACCTGCAAATTCCACTAATTACTTAAATATAGCATGTTGTTGTCCATTTTATAAATATATTTTTAATGTTACTGTTTTTTTGTTTTCACATTATGTTAAAAACACCATATTCAGCTACAGTGACTCTTTGAGACTTGCATTTAGTTTGTTTGTTTGCACATAAATACTGATTAGGCTATATGTTAATGACGATAAACAAGAAAAAAAATGTTTAGGACCCATCTGACTTAAGCAGAAGATTTCTTTTAAATACAAAATTAAAACTGCAAATGATAAAACAGTTAGTTGTAATGTTTTACCTGTTCAGCTGCTATCTGTCAACTTACATTAACTAATAAGGAAATACCATAGATTAAATCATTCTTTGTAAACCCCGTTTATCTTGATTTGGTGCCAGCTTACCAGCATAGCTCCACTGTTCCATCTGTGCCTCATAATTAGGATTATATCAGACAGAAAATAGACATTAGACTTATCTAAGCAGCTCAAAGTCAGAGGTCTAGATCTGTTAAAGTTAAATTGGACTGACTTGTTTTATTGAGGCATGATATCATCAATAGTGGGATTTCACTGCTATTGGAACTGACAATAATTTCTGGTATCCTTATAATATTCCAATAAAGATTCACATTCAAGGCCAGAAAGTCTAAAACAGAAAGTTTCAAACGATTTCCTGTCTTCTGTCTAGACCTCTGAGTCTGCTTCTCACCAGCTTTGTTCTGTTTTGGATCCCCACATGTCGGCACATGGAGCAAACACAACCACACACACTTGGCCTACAAATACACCCACACACCCACACAACCCAGACGCGACCCAGACGTGAGAGCTGCCCTGAGTTTTTGTCACTCTGCACATGAGGCCTGTCATTTTATAGCCGTCCTTGAGAACACTCAACAACCCCCATTTTGGGGCAGACCACTGCTTCATAAGAATGGCACGGGCTGATGGACAGCTCCAAAGGAGGTGCTGACTGGGAGACGTAGGCGGTTTGTGTTGGGGGGATGCCCAGTGTCCTTGAATATTTCTTTGTGGTGACGAGTGAGGCCAAAAGCCGCTAATGACCACAGCGTAAATGTGGACGACTGAAAATTTCCTTAATTAATCACTTTTCAGTTTGAAGTAAAGAATAGGCTCATTTAGCATGACAAGAGACAGACTGCGCTGCAGCACGAGATCCATTATTAAATCAGATTACGGTGTGTGGTATAACCTCAACAAGTTAAATTGTAGGAATGGAGCAAAGAGCTCAGCGCTGTGTGCAGCCCAAGGGAAGGTCACATGGAAGAGTTAAGTTTCACTCACCTCATCGGCTGAGTCCGAAGTGCCGTCTTCAGATCTTCCACCACCTTGTTCCTCATTTCCATTTCCTCCTCGTCAAAGGCAAACAAAGTCTGCATCTGCAGATAAGAAGAGAAATGGAGATTTCACTGGAAAAATAACAGATTCATAGAGTTCAATTCCAACTCTACATCAAGTGAGAATGTTACCTGCTGGTAGTAATTTGGTACTTTCCATTTTTAATTAGAGCAGGGCTCCTACAGCCCGAGGAAAGTTGGGTTTAAGACTTTTTTAATGCCGCTCAGAATAAAATTTAAAATCAATTTCACACAAACCAAAAACTGAAGACAAACAACATCAACTGATTGGGGTTGTTTGGTTTTTGTGGTTCAGTCGAATCTCTCGTCCAACAAGCTAATTTATGTAGGCTGTTGATACAGACCAAATGCACGCAACCACATGGCAATTTTGGGAACACTGCACGAGATTTCACTCTCAATTACCATTGTGCATATGTTTTCTGCAAGAAATACACCATGACTTGTATGTTACCTGACATGAGACATTACAACAGAGAAATATGGACTTAAACAACTCAAATTCTTAAAGATGTGGTTCTCCCAACCTTGAATGCAAAGAGCCAATCAACAAAACAAATGACTGATCTTATGTCCTTGAGCTGAAGGCAGTGCATTTCTTTCTGAGGTTTTTAAGACATTTTACTTCTCATGCAAAAGGATTCTTTGGTTCTAAAAGATGATGTGGATGATGAAGTTGGTCTAAGGTGACAACCCCACGAGAGGTTAAATATGTAGGGCTTCTTCAAGAACCTAAAAAAGAAGTCCAGTTGCCTTGAACTCAAGCACCTATTTTGAGGTTCCTGCTCGAAAACGACATGCCCAAAATGAATTAAGTATTTCTCTGCAATTACAAACTCTGTATAAACAATCCTGCTATCAAAATAAAGCTAACACTTGTGAGACTTCATCAGCGTTGTAAATATTACAGCAGATGCTAGTTTGTCAAAGCAGCTGAGGATGGAAAATAGAAAAATACGATTTTTTTTTCCTTGCCTAATTTCTGTTCTTTTTCCTGTATTTTATAGCATATAAAACCTTTGGACATATCCTGCGGTACACAATAAACTCCACAACATCATGAATCAACATATTGACATTATCTGTACAAAGACTGATGCTGCTGAAGTGAAACACAGCAAAGTTACAGAGATTTTAATGAAGGCTTAGCCAGGCATTTTGCAATTTGTTACATTTTGCCACAGTCTGTGAGAGTTGAATTTTCTTAAGTATTGAAGAGCAGAAATGACTCTAAATCTTTATTTACAAGCCTACAAAATGCTTGTTTTTGAATATTTTTGGAAGAATTACCCCCCCCACACACACAGGCATAATGGTCCCTGCGTGAACGCAATTTGCACAGCGAAAATAGTCTTCAGGACTTTTTGATGGCCAATAACTTTGGCTTCTATTGGCCATTTTGCATGACTGACCCTTCTCTTGAATCATTTGAGCCAATAGAATGACAGTAACATCAAGACATTTACAATCACAATTTGCAAGGCGAGAAATACACGTGAAGCAAAATGTACAACACTCTCCGTCATCCAATCACATCTCTGTATCTGGGCAGAAAATCTTATGACAGGAAACAACTCTGAGGCGTTGTGGGAGATGACTGCAATTTTTAAAATGTTTTCCCTCTAAAAGTATGTTTATTTTTTCCCCCCCCCCCACTGCAATTTAGATTTCTACTAGACTTGATCAAAAATATTCAATGCCTCTGTCTCTTCTCAGGGACAATGCTAAGAAAAACTAAAAGAACAAAATTAATCCTACATCTTAACTAGATTAATGAGTAGATGTATTTGCCATCACACTGCAGCTCTGTTCATTGCAAACATTTTCTATATAGTGTCAGTGCTGTGCGAAATTACATGCAGTTTTATTGTACATGCAGTGATTACTGTATATGTATGGTTCTTTATTTTTCCCTTTTAATGTAGATATTTAGATGAAAGCTACTTAATATCTGACTGGAGACATTATGAAGACGGCTCCCATGAGACGAGATGATTCCTAAAAGAACCAGTTTCAGTCAGGCTGCTTTCCTGATCTTGATGATACAAAAAACAAAGGTTCTTTTTTTAAATGTATGTTTCCAATATTTACAAAACTTTCCATTTTATGATCAGAGTGTGTTTTGCCTCTTGCTCTGTGCAATGTTAATTTTTTATGTCTGTTAAAATTTTAAGATCAGATTGATTTAAGATATTTAAAGACTTTAAGGGTTCACGTTATCCACAGACACCGTGTCAGATCTTTTCGGAGCTTATCTTTAACACAAGAATATTAATTGTAATTTGGCAGCAATATGACTGCAACCACACATTTAGTGTCTTTAGTGTGATTATATATGATACTAGGACTAATTGGAACAATCAGAGACTCATTAGCAGACTTATGCTTCTGGCACCACAACTCAAACAGATTGTGTTTAAAGCTACACAACATACCAAAATAAGTTATGCAGACAATCAGCTCTAATCAACCTAAAAAGAATAGTAATAGTGATAATGCATTTCTGCATCACTTCACTGATTTTGTCTGCAGTATCAGAGAGCAGTCATGCTCTCATTAGTCAGTGCCACGGGCCTTCTGCTTAGCATCTCCAGGCTTTTTCCATGGTAGCTCACTACCAAGCACCGAGGCCAAACAGTGCATGTTTCAGCCAGTCACAGTGCTGCCCATTCATTTCCCTCAAAAGATACTTGTTTGCGATTGCTTTCAAACTTTAAACCTTAAAATTTTGGTGCAGCTCGCTCATTCATTTCTAAATAAGTCTTGTCTTGTGATGATCAAGCCACTACAAAAGCAAACAAACAAATAAAACCATCAACCTAAAAGTTAGCTTGATGGTTCAATACCCAGCCCCTGCAGTCTGCAAGTGGTGCTTGCACAAGTGCTTAACCTCAAATCGTCCCAGATGTGTGAGTGTGTGTGAAAGCGTTTAAAAGCGCAGTATAACAAGGTTTGTGGACCTTGGAAAGAGACACTGCTGTTTGGTTCTACTAAGGCAGCTTTTTGTTGCTTTGAGGAGTCATAGACAAATGCCATTGGGCAACTTAGACCAAGGCAAAAATAAAAGACCGGAGGAAGAATAGGTAAATTTGATTTGGGGGTGCACTGTCCCTTTAAAAAGTAACACACAACCTCCCACCCGCCGTTTGTATAATTATTTTATAGACTGCCAACTAGCTACCATGACATATCTAACTGAATCCTGACCCAATGTTTGATTTTCCAACAAGAGCTCAGATCTGTCCAGTGTGCGAGAGTGTTTAATATAGAAACGGTACACTCAAAACATCCATCGTGTCGACTTAGCCTCAAGTACAGATGGTTCAGGAGCCCTGTGCCAAACGCTCTGGCTCCTGTTGCTCTAAATGAGCGTGTTCATAGTCAATGGGAAGTTGGACACAACAAGTGTTGGGCTGAGTGAATGATTGGGTCGTGCTGTGAGCCAGTTCACCGTGTCAGTGAGTCTAGCCAAATGGCTCCTTCCTACATCTGCTATTAGTAAGCTCACCCGTACCTGTGGCCAACATGCACATAAGGATATCATTAGAGCCAGTTGGTAAACCAGCAGACGGTACTTCCCTAAATCCTTATGATGGGAAATGCCCCCCCAGCCAGAACTATGCCTTTAAGCTAGTCATAAGAGCGTCGTTAACAAAGATGAATGCTACTAATCGAAGTCTTAATGTGGGCCATGTGGATCATTGACGCATCAACCAAGAAAAAAAAAAGAAAAGGAACAAAGAGAAGGGATGAGTTTAATCTAAACCAAGACAAACTAAATTTTGTTAACTAAAACAAAATAATTTAGTGAAATCCAGCTGCCATCGTATATTCCACCATCAGAAGATATTTGGAAGGCTTACGTCAAGTTGCATTAAAAGTAAACGTATATGTTTATGTTTCATATCTCGTCAGACTAAAAAAAAATTTTTCTTGTAATTTATCCTAGCCTGCATTTAAGCAGTGAAGTGACTGTTTTTCTTTTAATACCTAACATCAGACGTCAGGGACACTGCACGCTCATATGGTAGCAACTTGTCAGTCACCTAATCCCGAACTTTATCATTCTATTTGATGTAAACAGAACCATAATTTATAAAATAAACATATTCAGACTTGGCACTAGCAACTGAGACCATAAACTCATCGTGTAAGCATTTGCCGTAGTCACTGGCAATGCGAGCAGTAGGGTCATTTTCTCATACGCTTCTTTGAAAGCGGACTAGAATAGCCCCCCCTGCTGGTCACTAGAAAGCATGCAAGTTTAAAATACTTCTGCTTTGGCTCCGCTTTTCAGAGCTAGACTGTTTTGTAAAAAAGATCTCTAAAACTGAGCAACTCACATTAACACAGTATTTGGAAAATAGCACTACAGGCCAGAGAAAAGACGTGTATATTTAATGGTGAGATGAAGTGTCCTTATAATAATTAAATGAAATCATATCCAGAAATAAATGTAATAAAAGAGATTTAGCTAACAGATCATTCTGAATGGCTCCAAAGATATACAGCTTCCAATCGAAACATTATGAAAACACGATGCAGTTTATTTGCAATAAAATTAATCCTGTACATTGTAAAATGTGTCACCTAATCAACCTGCTAAAAAGCACAGAACCTCAGTTCATATCAAAGTTCATCTCATCCCATCAATCAGTCTTGTGATTACTTCCAGAAGTTTGAGACCTTTGTGCATTTTCCTTTTTCTTTATTTCTGCAGAAAAAACGATCCAGCTGGGAGATCTGAAGCTCTGCACACAACTCGGGCACAGCGGGGCTACAGAAACTCCTGTCAGAGTCACAAGGGCGTTTGAGTTATCACGCGGTGGCCCACGAACAACCTCAGGGCTCTGACACAATTTTATGAATGAACATCAAGATGCCGGTTGTACAGTAATCTCGCCGGGCGGCAAAATGAGATCATCCAATAACTCAGCTACTGTGTAGGGGCCGACCCCGGTGAGATCGCGCCGGAGCCAAAACATGAGGTCACGGGGCAGGAGTGGAGTGCCTCCAACTTTTAAAATGATGTTGAAGATCGTTTGGAGCTCCGTGGTGGACCAAAGTTGGAGAGGAAGGGGAGGAAATCAGTCTGAGGAACGGTGAATAATGGAGCTTAAAGTAGGTCTGCTTGTGCAAAAAGGAGACTGCTACAAGTTGTAAAATCTTTTTCATGCATGTCACCCACTGATGTAATATTAGCTGACGCTACTGTGCTTGAAACCAGGTTTCTCCCTGATATTATTCCAGACACATTTTTTGTAAAAGTCTCAAGCAAGGGCGGCCGCATTTTCAATAGATGTCAACTTTTTAAAACTTCTGGTACTGTACAGTAGACTTTTTAAAATCACCGTGTTTTGCAGGAAAAACAGGAAAAGAACATCTGAAACATAACTCTGACAGAGCGTCTGACACCTAATAGCACAGTGGCTCCACTACAGCCCTGGTGGATTTCAAATTCTTGGCAACTCACAAATCAGCACTTTCTCCCTGCTCTACTTAAAATACGGTTTGTGTGAGTGTGTGTGCGTGCTGTCAAGCGTCTGAGCCTTAAAGAGACTGAAAAATCGTTTCTCCAGACCTCTACGCTCAGCTCAGGTAGCAGTGTGCTGTTCAGAAGCAGTTCTCATCTCTGGAGTGGAGGCAGTAAACAAAAACAGCTGCAAAAATTGCAACCGACGACAGCTACGCTCGACAAACTGCAGGGCAATAAACAGATATTAAATGCCGTTACGTTTCAGCTCGGTGTTTATGGTATGCTAAGGTTCAACCGTTTGTTCTACCTCACACTGGAAAGATTTATGAATGCAAACATGTCGGACGGTTTGGCTAGTCTCTACATTTTGTGCTTATGTGTCACCTTTCAAGAGACTCGCTTAAAATGTCATGTTTTAAGATCTCAAAACATTTGGGAGGCAGCTTGTCGTTCACAGAAGGACTCGGGGTGAGAGGCTGCTGGCACGAACCAGTCGGTTTGATATAATACAACATCATATAACAACACTTCTGTCTAAAGCGACATGGGGATCACAGCAGAAGCGAACTCTGCGATGGTATCACACCGTTTTTATTGGCAGACACACGGTCTAGAACTAACGAATATTGTCATCCTGGCTTTGCTCCATGTGTCTGACAGTATTTCCCACTGACTGAACTGCTGAGCGCCGAAATGGCCTGTTTGTCATCGCAGTGTGTGTGAATGCTGGGGTCACAGCGAAGGAATGTGCTCGTGTGAATATAACAAGCAGTCAGCAGGGAGATGATAAAACGCCAGCCAAGATATCTAAGAGAGAACGGCTGAGCGAACAGTGACCTCTGTGGGGGCTGCATTAACTAGAGTTCAGTACCATCAATGCTCCTAAAGCTGTTGTAAAGGGGACTTATTATGTTCCCTTAATAGGCCCTTGATATTTTTCATGCGTGGTCGGAAACAAGCAGATTTGGCCCCTCACAAACACAATGCTTGAATGGTAGTTATTAGGGTAATATGCATTCCTGAGACGACCATCATACAACCATTTCTATGGCATTTTATGACAGATGTTTAAAGAGAGTACCTGGTACATATATGATGCAAACTAGGCAAAAGCAGAATAGGTCTTCTCTTATCTTTTTTAAAAATAGTGGAGAATCAGTTTAACTTACAGCCGCCATGGAGTTAATGCGGTCGATGTAGTAGTCAGGCCAGCTGGTGGCCAGCTTGTTGGGGTCCTCTTGCTCCTGCACATGGACACAAAGAAAGTGCTTTAATACCAAGTCAAAAAACATTCGCTTTCCCACAAAGCTAAAATGCTGATCACAGTTAAAAATTCCATTTCTTTTTATGAAGCAAAAATTAAGCATGTGGGTTCTTGCTCCTTTTATCAAGATTTCAGATGTTTTATTCATTTTATTCATCCACTTTGCATCATATTGCGATGTAAAAGCACTTTTCCATTTATTGTTTATTTATTATTTACTTTACAATATAAAGCATCTTGAGGCAAATGTTGTGATTTAGGCTGTATAAATAAATCTGAATTGAATTGAAATCTTCTTTCCAGTTACCATAGGAGACAGACCCTTTGTTACTTTGACAATTGCAGCTGGTGTTTAGAAATGCAGCAGCCAACTCACTAATGGTAATGACTGGTTATGACAATTACCAACACAAACCATCATTTTCTGAACAGACGTTACAATCACTAATCAAATGCATTTCGGCTCTGCTAAATTAGCACAAAACGTCTGAAAACGCCTCATATTCAGCAACAAGTCTAAACAGCTATGAGTAAAGCTTGATACTGGTAGTTAGGGTGCAGAAGTAAACTTAACCAGAGTCAGCTGGTTTTAAAGTTCAGTTTATTTATTAGATCCACATTTGGATTATTAAGCCAAGCATTATGAAGAAACACATCTATTATATCAATATTATTTTCCATCAGTCAGGAAAGGAAGTTATTATCAGTAGGACAGATACTTTGTGTAGTGAGATATTATTTCCACTGACTAATGCTGCCAACTGAGCAGCTAAAGCTGACATTAAACACAACAGACATGGCATTAATTAAGAGAGAAACTGCTGGGGTGGAGGTGGGTTGTAAAGTGGCTTGCATATCCCCAGCAACTGTGGGCAAGCTAAAGCCTCTTGGGTACGGTATGCGATATGAGATTATGAGTTTTTGAAAATATTAAAAAAAATAATACTAATAATCTGAGTGAATATTTTTGCTTCTGTCAATCATGTGCTCTTTCCACAGAAGACATCATCACACTGGGGACCAGACTTTTCTATTTTGGACCATATGTTTCCTGTTTGTGCCCGCCCCTCCCTTTTGTTTTCTACCTCGGCCCCAAACGTCAACATCCACATGAAGACTAAATAGATCAGGCATGCCAGTCTATAATAATTAGGTCACAACATTTCAGATTCTTCATTCAAAAGAAGAACTGCCCAGAGGAATGAAGTGTGCAGCACAATTGTTTTCAAATAGCTCTGCCTGAGATCAATTTGTCCTGGCCAATTCGAGGATGCATGATGCCACAAACAAACAAAACAAGGGGGAGTACAGAGACCACGTTCCTCATTCACATCTGGTCTTATTTAGCTTAAGCCTAGTGTACTGGTGGAGCATTATTGTTGTTTTTGTTACTGTGTGTATGCCAACAATAGTTGGAAAGTTAAAGTGTGCCGAATTAACTCAAATTTGAACAGCTTTGCATGATAACGTTTTTGCCAAAGCTTAAAGTATATTTTAAATATCTACATAAATATTAGATTTTTTCTTCTTCTGCAAATTTCAGGAAAAATCTTTTTAATGATTTTTTATGCAGGGTCAAACACTGCATTAGAGAGGTTCACATAGGCAGATTTTCTGCACATGAAGGTATTAAACCTGCATAAATCCAATACAAAAGAATACAACTTTACAAGGCCGTAAATCAGTTTAAGAATAAATTCTATTTTTTTTTAAAAAAAGGTTAATGCTTTGTCTGTTTTCGCTCTAACTTTATTAACTTCAAAGGAATTCTTGCAGTAGAAAGCAGTCAGTTGTCTCTGTGTTCCTTCCTGATGTGAAAAAAAAAATCTATATTTTATAGCACCCATTCCCTCCATAATTTAAAATGCTGCTTCAATATTTGCATGGTGGCCCCATTTCTGTTGATTAAGCCACAAAAACTCTTTTCTGGGACCAGCACCAGATATAAAATCCTCTTATTATCTACAGAAACTAATTGAAGCTCAAATGTGGGCATAAAAAAGAGCTGCAAAATCAGCATTTCCACTTATTTATGAATCGCATACGCTCTAGCAGCTATACTTATGTCTAAGTTTGGTTAAAGTGGATTTCAGGCCTCATAATAACCATTGTTTCTGATCCCCAGCATTCTTTGCCAACATGGATTTAAAGCTAGGCTAAAACAAAAACAATAGCACTCAGTGTGCTACTCAGACTGTGTTTTCCAGTGTTCTGCTGACACATTCAGGACGCGATGCCAGACAGATCCTGACGCTGAGATTAACAACTTAACTGCCTCCTTCTGACCCTCGAGCCGAGTAACAGTCGTCAACACACCCTCAAAAACGGTCCAATGTAACATTTACTTTGGCAGTTTCATGAGCTTAAAGTAAAGTACTATAATTTGCGTCGTGTTTTTGGACAGCATGAGGTTTGTTTCGGCCAGTCTAGTCATATCAGTGCACACACTTCCTCAATTTTCTGCCCCTTTCACGACATTTCTAAGAGGTGAAGTGATGGTAAGTTTGTTCTTGTGCTCTGCTTGCTTGATCAAATCATTCTGGAAGTTAATCACACTTGATGACTGTTTAAAACCTTGTGATAAGACGCCAGACTTCCTAGATTAGTGCTCATTACCATTGAATGGTGCGAACAGCAGGCTCTGGATATGAAAGAGAAGATTGTGTTTGTCTTCATGAGTAAACATTTGCATGAATGTGCTTATTGCATTACACTACTACTCAAATGTCTGGGGTCACTTTTAAATGTCTTTGCTTTGAAACAAATATAGCAAGATATCATCAAACCTGCTGTTAATGTTTAATAAAGTCATTCATCATAAATCGTTTATGTAAAACCCCCATAAGCCCAATTTTAGGATGCATTACTAATGGGCGCCAGTGACATGCTGTCTTTACTAATGCAAGTTTGCTTAATACACGTTAAAATTACTCTTTAATTATGCTTTGTTTTAAAAAAAAGCTGGAAACTGGTGGGCATATAGAGCATCTTTCAGGGTTCAGCTATAGACCAGCCCAAATTAAATAATCTTGACTGATCTCACAGACGCATTTAACCAGTCAAATACACCCACAGGTCACTATATTAGGTACATCACACTAGTACCAAGTCAAACTCCCTTTTTGCTTTCGGAACTGCAGTAATTCTTAATGATATCGATTCAACAAGATACTGAAAACGTTCCCCCAAGATTTTTTCCATTGGCTGCACAAACATGATATAAATTTCCTGTTTCCCCACATCCCAACGGTGCTCTACTGAATTGCAGTCTAGTGAGCCGTTTGAAATGACGTGAGCATTGTGACTTGCCATCAGAAGATGGGCACGGCGTGGTCATAAAGGGATGGGCATGATTATTAACAATACCCAGGCTGGTACAGTTAGTAGGACCCGAGGACTGTCACTCACTTTGCTTTGGACCATCCTCTGTAAAGTCCAGAGATGATTGTGTGGAGAAAAATAGATAAGCAGTTTTAGGTTTTCCTAATGTTCACTTAGCCTTTTTTGTTGTATCAGTAAGGGCCAGTTTATGCTGTTCTGTAAAGTGAGTAGTGCACATTGTGTTAACAATAGTTTCATTTCTTAGAAAAAGAATAGTCTCGTGACTTTAAGGTAATATAATTTGAGATGATAAGCAAAGAATTCAGCTTTTCTAATGATGTAAGGGAGCCTAATATGCATCTGGACTTTTAATATTTACATCTACCTACATATGTCATTAAAATGATTTATTAGCACTGTTCCCTCATATTGAGAACGTTCTGCATTTGAACCAGATGTTCTCCCTGTGACGGCAGTGGTTTCCTTTAGGTCTCCCCAGCCAAAAAACATGCAAGTTTGATGTTTTTCTTTCAACAACAACATTCCTAAGTGACCCCAAATCCCTGAGAGTAAGTGCACATCTTTGTATGCAAGTGATCTTCTGGTCCCCTCCTTGGTAAAAACATTCCAGCCGTGTACTCAGTCGCAGCAGTTCAAGGTCAATTCCATCACTCTGCTGCAGCAGTTACACACTTACACATTACCCACGTCTGGTGACACTAACTATGATTTACACCCCAGGTTGAAGCATAGGAGGACAGGAATCCCCAACAGTGTATCAGGTATGTATCTGTAAACCTTTCCTCTTGTTACAACCATCTGTTGAGGTATATATCGTTTCTCTGAAGGCCCTAATACCCGCCTAAAACCAGCGTTCAGGATTATTTCCCTGTCTGTTTGGCAGGCTGTACTGTTTGCAGAGGCACCTGTTGAAAGAGAGGATGAAATTACATATTTCAGCCTCCCTGCTGTCATGTAGCGAGCAGTCTTTAAGATTTCAAACCTCTTAAAAAAGTTTCACTGACAATGATAATTGAGCTCACTGATTTATATGCATATATACCTTTCAAGTCAGAACTTCACGTACAACAGGGGGTGGAATTCAAAATACTCAATTGGCCACAGTTAAAAACAAAGCACTTTGAAGTGTAATGGCAACCTTATACCAAATGCTCTTAATTTTAAAGATAAGCAGGAGTGTGGGAGGAAGGTACATAGAAATAACACCATGCTACAAACTAAGACAAACCGATAGCATCACTCGTGTTCGCATGTTTTGCCCAACACACATCTGACAACAGCACATTTGCATGTTCACATTTTCCAACTATTTTCTCCTGGCTTTGGCAACCATCTTGGCACAGTCACTCACTTAAATGCCGTCCAACTGTTCTGGTTCTGAGACAGGGCCAGAATCTATAGATTGGCTCACAGAGACATGCTAACATGTTTCCACGCGGTCTCTAGTTTCTCTGGCGATTGGCCTGCTTGTGAGGCGCCTCACACTCTGTTCCCATTTGCTCAGAGAGGCCCTGGGAGACCCTGGCTATAATGTGGGGACTCTCACGAGCCATCCAAAATCCCGACAGCACCAGCAGGCAGCTCTGTGCTGAGTGAAATACCCTTTTTTCAAAGACAACTTTATAAGCAAAAAGGAGC